AGGTATGAAAGCCTGAACCTGTGGAGAGGATTTTTGAAAAAGGGGGGTCGGTCATTTTTGGTGCCAGATTTTCAGTGTGGGATTTTTAGTGTGGGACAGTCAGGGACAATTGATCACTGGACATTTGGTCACTGGGACAATTGATCATTGGGACAATTGATCACTGGACAATTGATAACTGGACAATTGATCACTGGACAATTGATCACTGGACAATTGATCACTGGACAATTGATCATTGGGACGATTGATCATTGGACATTTGGTCACTGGGACAATTGATCACTTGACAATTGATCATTGGGACAATTGGACATTTGGGCCTGGAAGGGGGGGGGGTAATTCAAAGGTCAAAGTCTAGGTCAACGTCTAAGGAAGCCTATGCCTAGTGCCCTACTGTCTACACCTATTGAATAAGAACCCGTGCCTTTGGATATAACTGGGAGGTATGAAAGCCTGAACCTGTGGAGAGGATTTTTGAAAAAGGGGGGTCGGTCATTTTTGGTGCCAGATTTTCAGTGTGGGATTTTTAGTGTGGGACAGTCAGGGACAATTGATCACTGGACATTTGGTCACTGGGACAATTGATCATTGGGACAATTGATCACTGGACAATTGATAACTGGACAATTGATCACTGGACAATTGATCACTGGACAATTGATCACTGGACAATTGATCATTGGGACGATTGATCATTGGACATTTGGTCACTGGGACAATTGATCACTTGACAATTGATCATTGGGACAATTGGACATTTGGGCCTGGAAGGGGGGGGGGGTAATTCAAAGGTCAAAGTCTAGGTCAACGTCTAAGGAAGCCTATGCCTAGTGCCCTACTGTCTACACCTATTGAATAAGAACCCGTGCCTTTGGATATAACTGGGAGGTATGAAAGCCTGAACCTGTGGAGAGGATTTTTGAAAAAGGGGGGTCGGTCATTTTTGGTGCCAGATTTTCAGTGTGGGATTTTTAGTGTGGGACAGTCAGGGACAATTGATCACTGGACATTTGGTCACTGGGACAATTGATCATTGGGACAATTGATCACTGGACAATTGATAACTGGACAATTGATCACTGGACAATTGATCACTGGACAATTGATCACTGGACAATTGATCATTGGGACGATTGATCATTGGACATTTGGTCACTGGGACAATTGATCACTTGACAATTGATCATTGGGACAATTGGACATTTGGGCCTGGAAGGGGGGGGGGTAATTCAAAGGTCAAAGTCTAGGTCAACGTCTAAGGAAGCCTATGCCTAGTGCCCTACTGTCTACACCTATTGAATAAGAACCCGTGCCTTTGGATATAACTGGGAGGTATGAAAGCCTGAACCTGTGGAGAGGATTTTTGAAAAAGGGGGGTCGGTCATTTTTGGTGCCAGATTTTCAGTGTGGGATTTTTAGTGTGGGACAGTCAGGGACAATTGATCACTGGACATTTGGTCACTGGGACAATTGATCATTGGGACAATTGATCACTGGACAATTGATAACTGGACAATTGATCACTGGACAATTGATCACTGGACAATTGATCACTGGACAATTGATCATTGGGACGATTGATCATTGGACATTTGGTCACTGGGACAATTGATCACTTGACAATTGATCATTGGGACAATTGGACATTTGGGCCTGGAAGGGGGGGGGGTAATTCAAAGGTCAAAGTCTAGGTCAACGTCTAAGGAAGCCTATGCCTAGTGCCCTACTGTCTACACCTATTGAATAAGAACCCGTGCCTTTGGATATAACTGGGAGGTATGAAAGCCTGAACCTGTGGAGAGGATTTTTGAAAAAGGGGGGTCGGTCATTTTTGGTGCCAGATTTTCAGTGTGGGATTTTTAGTGTGGGACAGTCAGGGACAATTGATCACTGGACATTTGGTCACTGGGACAATTGATCATTGGGACAATTGATCACTGGACAATTGATAACTGGACAATTGATCACTGGACAATTGATCACTGGACAATTGATCACTGGACAATTGATCATTGGGACGATTGATCATTGGACATTTGGTCACTGGGACAATTGATCACTTGACAATTGATCATTGGGACAATTGGACATTTGGGCCTGGAAGGGGGGGGGGGTAATTCAAAGGTCAAAGTCTAGGTCAACGTCTAAGGAAGCCTATGCCTAGTGCCCTACTGTCTACACCTATTGAATAAGAACCCGTGCCTTTGGATATAACTGGGAGGTATGAAAGCCTGAACCTGTGGAGAGGATTTTTGAAAAAGGGGGGTCGGTCATTTTTGGTGCCAGATTTTCAGTGTGGGATTTTTAGTGTGGGACAGTCAGGGACAATTGATCACTGGACATTTGGTCACTGGGACAATTGATCATTGGGACAATTGATCACTGGACAATTGATAACTGGACAATTGATCACTGGACAATTGATCACTGGACAATTGATCACTGGACAATTGATCATTGGGACGATTGATCATTGGACATTTGGTCACTGGGACAATTGATCACTTGACAATTGATCATTGGGACAATTGGACATTTGGGCCTGGAAGGGGGGGGGGTAATTCAAAGGTCAAAGTCTAGGTCAACGTCTAAGGAAGCCTATGCCTAGTGCCCTACTGTCTACACCTATTGAATAAGAACCCGTGCCTTTGGATATAACTGGGAGGTATGAAAGCCTGAACCTGTGGAGAGGATTTTTGAAAAAGGGGGGTCGGTCATTTTTGGTGCCAGATTTTCAGTGTGGGATTTTTAGTGTGGGACAGTCAGGGACAATTGATCACTGGACATTTGGTCACTGGGACAATTGATCATTGGGACAATTGATCACTGGACAATTGATAACTGGACAATTGATCACTGGACAATTGATCACTGGACAATTGATCACTGGACAATTGATCATTGGGACGATTGATCATTGGACATTTGGTCACTGGGACAATTGATCACTTGACAATTGATCATTGGGACAATTGGACATTTGGGCCTGGAAGGGGGGGGGGGTAATTCAAAGGTCAAAGTCTAGGTCAACGTCTAAGGAAGCCTATGCCTAGTGCCCTACTGTCTACACCTATTGAATAAGAACCCGTGCCTTTGGATATAACTGGGAGGTATGAAAGCCTGAACCTGTGGAGAGGATTTTTGAAAAAGGGGGGTCGGTCATTTTTGGTGCCAGATTTTCAGTGTGGGATTTTTAGTGTGGGACAGTCAGGGACAATTGATCACTGGACATTTGGTCACTGGGACAATTGATCATTGGGACAATTGATCACTGGACAATTGATAACTGGACAATTGATCACTGGACAATTGATCACTGGACAATTGATCACTGGACAATTGATCATTGGGACGATTGATCATTGGACATTTGGTCACTGGGACAATTGATCACTTGACAATTGATCATTGGGACAATTGGACATTTGGGCCTGGAAGGGGGGGGGGGTAATTCAAAGGTCAAAGTCTAGGTCAACGTCTAAGGAAGCCTATGCCTAGTGCCCTACTGTCTACACCTATTGAATAAGAACCCGTGCCTTTGGATATAACTGGGAGGTATGAAAGCCTGAACCTATTTAGTTTTTGATAATTCCGTTTGAGTGGTATTAAAACTAAATGGGGTATTCATTTGGGAGTTTCATTATAGAAAAAGTTCTAATTTTTACAAAAAAAAGTAGGTCTCAATGTTGGATCGTTCTTGGAGTTTAGGGGTGTCTGAAGCTCTCGGAGCTTGAAAGAGTTGGGTGTTTAGAGAAGAGTAAACCCGGGGTCGGGGGAGGGGTCCAAACCCATTTTTAACCAACAAAAAAATAATGTGATAAAAAATACCACTTGTAAATAAAAGGCCTTTTTGCTTTCTTCTAAACGAATCCGCAAAAATCCTTTTTTTACAAGTGGCTTAAATGTGCTTTTCCGTTTTTGCATCTATGAATTTTGCTGTTTTGATAACATTTTGTGCTTGAAAAAAATAAAACAAAAAAATCGACGTAAACGGAAAAGCACTAAAAAAAATAAAAACATATTTCATTAAAATATCTTTGACCTTAAAATGTGGCGGAAGCATCTTTGCCACATTTTGTAGCTTCTCTCATTTTTGTAATTCATCATCAAGTTTCAGTCCAATGCTCATCAAGAACACTTCTACCAATAAATTATTTTCTTGTGTAGCTGTTGCAGTTCAAGCGCCATCAGATGACATCCACTAGCCCCACTCGTTCGACGAACATCGTTGAGCTTTAGAGCCATCATCACCGAATAGACGATTTTGTATATCAGCATAGGACAATGGAGGCTGGGAAAGGCTATGAGGAGCAGTGAATTTAACAACATGTTCCAATGCAATACGCTGAAAATAAAAAAGAAAATAAAACAAAAATTGCAGTTATATAAGAAACCCGATGCACAGATCTTGTACGATGAGATGGAGGAAGAGCAAATAATACATCACGTTCAGCATCAGAATTGAGTAGATAAGGACGAACAGAAAGTGTAAATGCATGATGTTTAGCAGCATCGCTAAAAATGTAAAGATAATATAAATGAAATAAAAAAACAACAACCTCAATGTTGAATAAGAAATTGAATTGGAGCGTTTGAAAAAACGATGAAGTTTACTCTTCTTTTGCTCTTCACTCTCATGTTGTCGTATTTCAGAATTTCCTCTTGTTGCTCGACTAATCTTGACTGGTGGGACAACAGCCTTGGCCTGGTCCAGTTGGTCGATAAAGCAAATATGGAAAAGGTAAGATTCAATTATGAAAGCCAAATCTCTGAGTGCATTAAGTTCAAGCACAGGCAAATCATCGCCTAAAAAGAAAGAAAAGTAAAATTAATTTATAAAAATAAAAACCATTTCTGCCGAATAACTTCTCAAAAGTGAAAGAAAATATGAAATATTTTCTGCACGAGCAGCATTTTGACTATCAGAATCTCCAGTTGCACCATTTCAATCACCGCCACGTTTTGCTCCCATTGTAACACGCTTAGTTAAAGGCTTCTTCTGTTCAGCAGCTGCTCGATTTCGTTGTGCGGCAGCTGCTAATGTTCGTGGTTGGTCATCACGTCGTTCATCAGTTTGATCAGAAAGATCAACATGATTTAGGTTTAGAAGACGACCCACTGAAGAATTCATTAAAACATTTGAGTAGCGTAGCTGAGCTTCAGTTCTTTAAAAAAAGAGAGAAATATTCCAAAAAAGAAAAGAAAACTAACTTGTCCATAATCAAAAAGAACCAATTCCACGTTGGGTCCAAACATTCATTAAAAAGCATCCTACAATTTAAAAAACATATGAAATATTCCAATAGTAAAAATATAGTCAAACCTTAAAAACGCCAAAAATCTTTGGATCCAACTCAAGTATGTTGGTGACTCCTTTTGACTTATTGCCTTGTTGTTTCCAATTTTCATAAAAAAATAATTGTAAGAGTAATTCATCGATTAATTTGACAATTGTCTAAAAATAGAAAAAAGTAAGCAAATCAAGAAATTAAAAAGAAAAACAAACCGAAAAACAAGCAGATAATTGTGTACTTGTATTACTTGTAGAAAAGTCACTATTATCCCCCAAATTTGCTACAACAGTGTTATCAGCAGTGACAACTGATTGAGCAGCTAAAGGTAATGATGTAGCACCAGAACCTCCCAAAGTCACACAATCATTAGCAGAAATTGAAGGTGTTGTTGAATTAGCTGTAGTGGAACGAAGAACAGTTGAACGAGGATCATTGGGTCTGAAAAAATTATATAATAATTTGTCTCATCAAAATCATACCTCTGGGTAGCAGATGTTCCACTGCCAAACACATTATTGTTGTTACTATGACCCCAAGCATTTTCATCCATAATTACTTCACCCCATCCCATTCCACCTCGACGAGAACCATCAGCAGCATTATTTGTAGCTGTAGGATTTGTGGAGGTGCTTGTAGTGGTTGCACCAACACGAGCTGAGGGTTCAGAAGCGCTAACAGCTATCTGAGTTTGTGAGTCAGCCTGACGAGCAGTTGTTGGTTCAATCGAAATTGTAGCTGAGGTATTGCTCCCCTCAACACTATTTGCCGTTTCCGCAGTCGTTGACGATGCTGTTGCTGGAGCACCAATAGTCACTGTTGCAGTATCGTTCGAATCTCCACCATCTAACGGATTTACATCAGAACCACCATGCACTTCAGCTTCGCCATCATCATCGTCGTCGTCATCGTCGTGGATGTCAAAATATGGCTCAACTTCATCGTCGTCGTCATCATCATCAATGTCATCGTGATCACTTCCATACGCATCTTCCTAACGATAAAAAATATTTTTAAAAAAAATTTTCGAGACTAAACAAACCCCTTCATGTTCATCCGAACTCTCATCTAAACCATTAGCATTTTCTTGACGACGTCTACTCTGCTCAGAAATTGTTCTTTCACAAGCACTAAGTGAAGTATTGCTGTTCTCACGAGTTCTAGAAATTGTTGCTGGCGCATCCAAATCGGTAATTCCAAGGCTGGTCCCCCCCTTTTTTTCCTTTCTATTTTTTTCGATTTTTTAAACTTTTTATGGCAAATTACATATCATTCGAAAGAGCTCTTCGAGCTGAGTCGAACGGTACTAGATTCATCGAAATCCGACTTAAATAAACATAGCTATGAGCATTTGTTTTAATCCCTTTCAGCATCACAAAAAGAACGTCCTTCGAGGATTTAGCTTCATAAATCTGTTCAGATTCGCCAAATCTAACCGATCATAGTATCATTCTACTCAGCTCGAACAGCTCTTTCGAACGATATATTGAAAATTATATGCCAAGCAAAAAAACTCAAAATGGTCAGGGGAACAGAAAAAAAGGGGGGGGGGGGGGGACCAGCCTTGGAATTACCTCCAAATCTTCTTCATCGTCATCATCTTCATCTGATTTAAGAAAAAAGAAATTAAAATTATAAACTGATAAAAAATATATACTTGACATATCATCATCGCTAGCACGCTCCAATGCCATATCTGTCGCTTGACTAGTATCACCTCGTCGTAAATCAGCCAACTGTATAATACGTGCATTGCTTGCTACACCAGTAGACGTTTTATTGCGATCACCACTTTGCATTGAGATCCGAATTAATGAAGACAAATCTTGCCCGTTGGTCAAGTGTTGTTGTAAAACTTCCAAAACATCTTCATTTGAGACAATGCAAGCTGAAGGCTTAACGATTCCAAGACGAATCGGAGAAATTAACGCATCATGATTCCAATCAATTCCAGCAACGAATAACTAATTAATGCCTGAAAAATTCTTTTAAAGAAAAGAAATTTTTTTAAATAACCTGAAACACTCGTCGACATTTTGCTACAAAAGCAATAACTTTATGCTTCTTTTGATCTTTTTTCTCGAGTGATGAATTGAGTGAAAGAGCGGCAGGTAGACTAGCCCGAACTAATGAAAGTACACCAGAAATAGCAGCAGGAAGTTGCTGTTGAGTCGAGTTCAACTAAAATACTTTGTTATATAAAACAATAGCTTATAAAACCTCATCACGAATCCAACTTTCTTGACATAGACGACGAACTTGAGCTTTATACTTTTGTTTGTCAGCCTTCAAATTTTGAAAATGTGAAGCAAGTGCAACCATGACCTGTAACACCAAATCAAAAAGTTAAATTTATTTTAGGAAACCTGAGCCTCCTCAACGCCTAAAAGTATATTCTCCAAATTCCTATCAACAATTGATGTTTTCTCGTCAATCAACTGACGTTCATCCGGCGTAAGCAGATCAAGACCACCAGTCAGCTTGTTTTTTATTGCTTCATGTTCATCTCGTAATGCATCCAAACCTTGGGCAACTACGCGAATATTTCGAAAAATTTCGTCCTGTGCTGGCATTTTTAAAGAATTTTTAAGCTCTAAAATGTAAAATAAAAACAATAAAATAATTGTATGTATGAATTATAACAAATCGCGAAAACCCGGAAATCCTACTCACCTATGAATTTTTTCTAAGCGCAACATACATTTCTAAGTGCCCCAACCCATAAAGTGCTATATAATTTAGACACTGACGAATTCGAGTTTTTAGAAAAGTCGCCGATTCTAAATAAGTCGCCGATTTTAGAAAAATTCGCCGATTAGAAAAAAGGTCGCCGATTGGCGTAAAAATATTCGAAGTAATAAATCGATTGGAAACAATTGTAAAATAAACTAACAATAAGAATGTAAAAAAATTGACTCTTTTTCTCTCACAGTGTTCTTTTTTTAATGGAACAATCTTTAAAAACAGAATGCCAAAATTTTAATTTTCAAAGAGACATTACAGGCGCGCTCCGAAAATGTCCAGATGTACGGAAAATCAAGCCCTAAGTTAATGAAAAAACGTTGAGTTACCTAAACTATTTAATTTTATTAAAGCTACAACTCCTGTAAAGGAAATCTACGGATATAATCCTTTAGTCTTAATGGCTTTTGCCTTAATTAGACGTTTGTAGAAAGTGCCTTATTTATACGTTTGATCGTAAAAAGATATGTATATAACATTATTAAAATTTTATCCAAAGGCTTCCTTGATACTCTCGAACGGTCTAACAGCCAAGTCAACAGGCAAATCTTAATTTGTCACAATTATTTTTTATTACTGATTCATACCAAAATTAAATTGCTGAAGTCCTTCAAGCAACGGCCTGATATCCTCGACCCCCTTAATACACATTTTTCAATTTTATCTTACATATATTAATAAACCGTTCTTGCTGTATAGGACCATTTGTAATAACATCTTGATAAAACAATATCTGATCGGAACTATTATTATTGTTTTAATTTTTTATTCATTTGATCTTACTATTATTCGAATCCAAGCTGGTAGTCGGTTACGGTTCAATGCAGCACATACGCTTAATTTAAGATCTATTTTGAATATTCATTTATAAAACTAAAGTTAAATTAAAGCTTAATTTACATTCCTCAATTCTCTTACATTCGAGAATTTAATTAGCTATCTCATTATTTTCAAACTAATTTACAATGCTTTCCACTGAGCATCCTGAGAACGTTTTAATCGTCCATGACTATTAATTATGTATTCAATCGTAGAAAGTAGAATTTGCTTTGAGGTAGGATGTGGAAGCATTGATGACTCCATTGTTTCTAGTCTAAAATTTTAATATTCAAAATATATTTCCCATCTTTTCCAGAAGATTTCATTTTTTCAATGCAATACTTACTTAAAAGTGTCACTAAGATTTCCAATAACTCCATCTCGCAGTTCTATTGCTCTACTTGTTTCTAGAAATAAAATTATAACATCCCAAATATGTTCTAATCTTCGAGCCTCAATTTTAACATGTTGGCTGCTCTTAACATGCTGCTTGTTATTTGAAAATATATCTTAAGTTATGAAAATAAGGTATTGTTGTTTTCAATTTATTGTTTTCAATTTATTTATTGTTTTCAACCTATTTGTTTTCAATTTATATGAAAAATCAAACTTATTCTTGAAGGGAGTAACTTGTTTCCTTGATTTACTGGCACCACGTAAGGTTGAAGACCATGTTCAAGAAGTGCGCGCAGTGCTGGGCATAGCTTCTTCCTAACTGAACTTACGATTGCCTCTTGATCACATTCCATAGTAACCTAATGAAATTAATATATTTCTTGATTCAAGAGACTATGTATTATAAAACTTTGTTAAGTTCGTCTACGCTAAGTTCTGCACGCTCTTCACGGTCGACACTCAGAATCTGATGTTTGCGTATTACCTGTATCACCTATGATTTAATTTAGTTAATCACAAATATCGGAACAAATTACCTTATCAACTGCCAATTCTAACTCTGCTCGTTGATCTCCATAGTGATTGCAAAGAGCTGAACGTTTCAGCTCGTTTTTCTCAAAATGTCCTTGGGACTTTGGCCTAATTAAAATAAATATAGTTGATGCAATTCTCATACCAAAGGTAGCGAGCCAAATTAATGATTGAGTTATTTGTCCCATGATTATTGTTAGTTTTTGCTGGCTGTGCTTCTATGTTAGGTGATGAATTTGAACCAGTGGCTGTTCCAGAACTAATATCTTAAATATTATTCGCATTAGTGAATCGTGTGAAAATAACGACTATACATATTTAAATATTATGTATAATAAATAATATGCCTGGACAGGAGAGAGTCACTGCTTCCCGCTGTAACAACTGTACATATTGTTCCAGATCGGATATCTACATGTGTTTAAAATAAAATCTCCAACTTTCATAACTTTTTAAATAATTTAATCCTATTACTAGATTGACTAACCTGTGTACTAAGTTGTTTCACCAATTGGTCCTGAAATATTTTCTTAATGTCATACTAATTCAACCTTATTTTCAAACCTTTTCAAGCAATCCTCGTTCCGCTTCATCCAATTCTGCATCCAGTTTTTTACGAAATTCATTTTCGTCAGCATCTGCATCAGGTCCAGCCAATTTAACTCGAAGACGCATCTTTTCACGTAGCCGCTCTAATATCTGATAATTTAATATTGACGGATCTCCCAGCACCCTTATAAATTAGAATCCCTATCAATGAAAATATATACTAACCAGAGTTTGCCTTGCGCGTAATTCGCTAAGTGGTAAATCACCCTCACGTAGATGTCCATTCCGCCAAGCGAAATTTTCCAGCTCATCTGTCATTGCCATTTATTTGGAAATATTCAGAATTTTTCAATTACACTCACCAAGTTGTATCCGCAGCTCTTCAACAAGTTGACTCATATTAGCAGCATTATCATTTGTCATAACATTTACGTTGTTTTCTTTTAAATCCACAACATTTAGAGATGAATTAGAATTATCACTGATTTGTTGTAGTCTGAGATTTCGGTTATTAGTGCAACTTGTAGAAGCAAATTGTTGAAGTTGATTTAGCATTCCCTTAACGTTGTATAACATTAGATAATCAGTTAATATTTAAAACTATCATTCTTCAGTTAAATGTTTTACTAAATATAAAAAAATTTACCTCACGTTGTTCAGCTGGCGCAGAAGCAATTTGCTGTATCCGAAATTGTACTTGTGCGAATTTTGTGCTCAAAGACAACAATGATTCGCTCAATTGTTGTTGTTCAGCTTCTAGTTCTCGAATCCTTGCTGATATGCTTCCGCTGCTAAATTTTGCTATTTTTATATTTCCTTACAACGCCCCGGGTTGTTTAAATTTTGATTCATTAAACTTTAATCTTACTCCATTTGTGAGCTGCTTCTGCTCATATCCTCTGAAAGCATATCAGCATTGTCGTTGCATTTCACATATTCTAAATATATTTCTTTTAATCTAGGTTTAATTTTTAGCATTTTGCTTCTAAATTTAACGTTTTGTTTATATTGTAAATCTAACCGTTTGTCTCTGTAAAAGAAACATCCGAGCTAGAAGGGTTTTGCTGACTAGTGATGTTCAGTAGAGGCGCTTCTTTGTTAATATTCACAATGTCCATTATACAGATGTACCAGATTTTTATACAAATATTTTTTTGGATTATAATTTATAAATAAAGTCCATTTTTTCTTAAAATAAGTTTTTAATTAAGGTTATTTCATTACCTTTGTTCTAACATTTCGAAATCGTATAATCTCCAATGTGAAAAACTTTAAAGAAATGCCACATATTTTTAAGCCATACATTTTGTATTCATTTTAAACACGCTAGCTGGCATATATTGATTTTGCTTAAGCTATTTAGTATGCATAGTATGCTTGTACATTTAGTTGTTTTAGTCTTATGTGTACATACTACAGCTGGATTTTAGTCTATTAATATTAACCTATATAATATGGAAATAATTCTTATATCCAAAAAATCTAAAGCGACTATATTAAATAAATTATATTTTATTACAATTATTCATAAATAAAAACCGAGAGTAAAAATATTTCGACTATACTAGTCATCTATTTTTGAGCTTTTTCAATTTCGCCAATCTGGATAGCGTACCCACCAAAAGAACGCGCTGATTCGATACCCGAGTCTTGATCATCACAATATCTTGTTGTTCTCATCGAGGGATAAGGAGGCAATGAGTGGTCCCTCTGTTCATTAGGTAAAGTCGTATCGGGCAATGAGGGCCTACGACTCCATCGAAAGCACCTTCTGTCAACTCTCTCCACTAAATTGATGAAAAATTTATATTTCTATCCTGTTTTATATTCCAACCATGCGCATTTTTTTGAGTTGAATCCAAAAATGATGGTTTTATTAGGCAATTGCGTATCTTGACAGTTCCTAGAATTGAGCGATGAAATGTTAGAATGTATATACTAACCAGCACTTTCATCTTGGCTTCCAGTTTCATCTGAACAATTTTCTTCAGTCCGTTGCGGATCATATAAGCGTACGAACTATTTGATAAAACAGTAAACATAAGCATTTTTATATTTACCTTCTCTTCTGATTGACAGCTCTGATATGGAGGAAATACGGCTCGGCAAACACCGTCGCCTAAAATATTTGTAAATGAATTCAAAAATAGTGAATACCGATGATAGGCATTGTTTCATATGTTGACGTGGAACTACATGCCCCAGCCCCACTATTTGATGAATAGACTCCAGTTGAAGCTGTAGCCTGTGATGTTTTTTTGTAAATTTTTGTAATAAATATGCTAAAAAGATACTCTTGATATCGTGCTAGTAGGTTGAGCATCATATGCACGACTACTTATTGATGGGGTGCCAGAAACTGAGCGCTCATTAATCAAACGATTTCTCATTGGGGGAATCGGTTCTGCTACAAGATCATTTTTCTAAAGATATGAAAATAAATTTCAAAATTTAAATTTATTTCCTTATGAAATTGTTTGAAACTTTTAAACATACTTTAAGTAAATTCTCAAATTTGCAGACCAAATCTGCGAATTTTGGACGCTGCTCAGACTCTGTATTCCAACAGCGGAGCATCAGCTCATAAATCTCATCTTGAATACCGATTGGGGGATCAAGCCGATCACCAGCAACGACAAGCCTCATTACCTGTAATATAATTTTTAGTAAGGGAAACCTCGTTTCTCAGGCATCATTGTAGTTATAATATTATAAATATTATTTCAAATAGTTAAAACCAAGTCTTTTTAATAACCTCTAAATTATCACGTCCTGGATATGGAATGTAACCAAGCGAAAAGATTTCCCATAGCAAAACTCCATAAGCCCAAACATCAGTTTTTGAAGTGAACAACCCATCCTGTAATAAAACTTTATAGAATAAGCTATGTATAATGACTACAAAATAAAGCAAAAAGCACTATTCTCATTAAAACACTATTCTCCCTATTCTCATTTAAAAATATTGCGAATTATATTATTAAAAAAAAGTTCACCAAAAAAGCTTCAGGTGGCATCCATCGAACTGGGAGAAAAGCCTTCCCTCCTTTTCGATAGTAGTCATTCCTACAATTAAATGAATCTCTATTAAATTCGATAAAAACCTGTAAATATCCCTAGCCATTCCAAAATCCGCGATCTTAACAATTCTATTGCCCACTTTAGATGTAAGTAAACAATTTCTTGCTGCAATATCTCTGTGAACAAATCGCGTTTCTTCTAGATGTTGACAGCCACGTGCCTTAAAGTTAAATCCATGAAAGATAAAGTTTTAAATTATTTTTACTATATCTAAAGAAAATCCCAAAAGATCGCCAGTTCTCAACATTGTTGAATCCAAGGCTTCGGAGTTGCTTACATGATCCTAATTGCGAAAAAGATTGACTTAACTAGTGATAAACTAAGTTAACCTGCTGTCTTGGCCGATTCTCGCGTAAGAAATTTTTCAGATCACCACCTTCTAGAAACTCAAGCACAATTAACTAAAATAAAAAGGTAAAATAAATTCGAGTATGGTCTCTAAAAATTAGTAGCGGTTATTATTGTAACAGAAGACAAATGTTTATTGAAACTTAATTTTGGTTGCTGCTCGAACGAGACACCAAAAAAAGTGACTATATTCTGATGTTTGAACTGACTAAAAACAAAATAATATTACGCACGATTTTAGAAAAAATAACCTTAACAAGCGAGCTTCTGTTTCAAAATCATCGCCAAAATCACGTGCTGACTCCAATGGTAAAGATTTTATAGCAACTTTGACTGCTGTTATTTTCTCATTATATTTGTTATCTTTTGATGAATTGCCATCGATAAAGGAACTATCACCTTCTCCCATCAATAACCAACCTTCAAATACTTCACCAAAAGCTCCATGGCCAATTATCCTAGCAATAAGTAGAAATAACGAACAATTCAAAAAATGTCTAGGAATCACTAATTAAATAATACATACTTGTCTAATTTAAGCGAGTGTCTAGGAATCTGCTTTAGTGGAGTTAAACTCAATGACTCGTAAATTGGATTACTGAAAACAAAAATTATGAATACAAATATGAAATTATATACCCGCTTATGCCAAAATTTGTATCACTATACAAGCAGTTATCGTTATTGCTGGCGACAGGTCTATTATCTTTACCAGATACAATAGCAATGAGCTCATGCACATCAGCGGATGGGCTCGGACTGAGTTTCTTTCCGCAACCACGTGCATGATATATTATTTTGAAACAGCATATCAACGATAGCAACAATGAGATAACAAGCAGGCAAGCTATTGAAAATTTAAAATGAGCTATTTATTTTAGGGACTAAAGTTAAATTGAAGAAAATTTAATAATACCAGCTATAAATCTTTGGACGGTAAAAGAAAGTTGGCCAAAAATATTGTAAAGTATTGGAGAATCTAAAAGTTTGAAGATAAAATAAGATAAATTTAAGTTAAAAATACTACTGATCCGGCAGATACTTGAACTATTAGGCTCTATAACACTCCCATCAGGGCAAATACATTTTGGTTGTGATATAGATCCATTTCTTTGTTCGGAAAGTGTCGTTATCGTTCCAAATGTACAATTTGCCCTAATTAAATAAAATGATTTCAAAATAGAATAAAATCTACCCAGATGGGCAATCACGTTGTGGGCAGGCTATGATGGAAGCAAAAGCAGAGTTTGGGTTGCTTTTTGGTGAAATTAGATGATCGCCTATGATATCATTTGTACGGATAACTGCACTTGTTCCTGGCAAACCAGGTCCAGCTAAACCACCAGAACCACCTAATAACAATATTAGTTAATAAAATAGTAAATTAAATCGACCTTGATAACCGCCACCACCCCCTCCACCTGCGTTGCAGGAAGCTCTATGAAATTTGTTTAAATTAAATCATTTGCATATAAAAAATTTACCCTCCTCCGCCTTTTCCGCCAAATAAATTCCATCTGCTCCCTAGTGGACAATGACGCTGCTCCAGGAGAATTAACTTATCTAACCGTGTATGCTGTTGATCAATTATATGATCAGAGATTGAAAGTCCATTTGAGGCTGATAAAATCGTTGGTAGTTGTCCTGGTTTGTCAATCCTATTCAATCACTTTAAATTAATAACTCTTGATTATGACATACTGGATTGGATTTAAAGGGAAAGCACCACCTCCACCAGCTGCTATAACAACAGGATTGCTCCCAATAAATAATATAGAAGCACCGCCACCGCTACAGCCTGGAAAACTCAATGGGTCACTGATTACGCTGTTCAGATCATCGGCTGTTAATGAACAAAGCTTCTCACTCTAAGAAATGAAAATTGAAAACAATAAGTTAATATAAAGCATACTAGATCCTTTTGATCACCCATAAGATTTTCTCTGTTTTTATCACAAATACATCTGCCTTCTTGTCCCAAAAATAATTTAACTTGCTGGCCGGCATTCAGACGTAAGTTTACCGCTAAACTATCAGCCCAAGTTGCATGGTTATCGCTAGCTTCGCCAACAAAGTTTCCACCTGGAGCGCCAGCCATTTCCAACCTTAAATTTGTGAAAAATGTTCAATTATTTTTTGAATACGTTACGTACCGATATTCTCCTGTGTATGGTACAATCCATTCACTAACATTATCACGTTGCTCTTCATCAATAATTGAAAGCACCGCAGGAAGCAAAGAGTATCTAACTCCTAGAGATGTGAAAGTTTATTATACCATATAGCAAGTTTTTAGCTCGGCTATATAATTTAACAATAATTATTTGCTTACCAAAACAATCCGGACTCAATGAAAGATCGTCAATAGCAATTGAACCCATAGAACCGGCCAATTTGGCGAAGCCTAACTTGAGAGAATAATCTCCATTGATGAGCAACGATTCGGTTTTAATATGAACGGAAACTCGATGCCATTCACATGGTTCACGGACATGTTCATCGTGAGGTGGAGCCCAAATTGGTTTAGCAACTTCTTTTGGCTTATCACGTAATTGAAGGAATATTTGGAATGGACTAAATCCAGTAAGGCAATAGAAAAAGCGCAACATGCACTGACGCGTTGAATCAACAAAATTTCTCTGGATAGGTAATGGTGGAGACAAAGCAAACGAATACCTTTTATAAAAACAATTTTATTTGGTCAAATCTAACTACAATATTAACTTACAATATGTCATGTTGGCCATCATGAATATGACCATAACTGTAATATGTTTAAAGTAAAGAAATATAAGCAATTAACCTTGAAAAAAATAAAAAATGGCCCGGTTTGAAGAGTCGTCCCTCGTTGTAATAGAATCCTGTAAAAATAATTTTAAAAAGATAAGCTCCTGTTATCACTCACTGGGTGGAATTCCAGGTCGTTGTGTTTGTCCATTTTCTAACGAGACCTGCAAGAACTTTTTAAACTAAAGAATAAACAAAACAAACTAAATGTGATGTAGTTCCTGATGTCAATAATCCAAAAGAATCATTTCTGCTTTTGTATCGGCCTGCTGATAGACTGCTGAAGAAACGCCATTGTGCGCATCCTGATAAACCAAAATTAATTACCAAGAAAATAATAAGAACCTGCTGGCAGCCAGCGCATGTCTTCAAAATCACAGCGAGCTCCTTCAGGTACTTGAACTAGAAAAAGTATCTTTATAACTTGTGATGTAAAAATTAAAAAGGAACATTATTGGGAAACAATAAAATATCCGAACCTAAATCATTTAAATAATTTTAGACTTACAGCATTTGTATAGCTCATCCGACTCGTCCTCACCATCAGCACAATCAGCATGCTATTGATATAATTATACTATATATGTAGAATAAATGACCCACCATGTCACAAATTTGATAATCATCCAGACAAATTCGCTTCTGCTGATCTGCCCCAAAAGGACGACATGAATCTCTTCCTTTTGGGCATGCACCCATATCATCAGTAGATCTCCATTCTTTCTCTGTTTTTAATTTAAATTATCACAAGGAAATTTTATCTGAACTTACCTGCACAGTTTATCAAATGTAAATCATCAATTTTGCATTCAACATTGAGAACTCCACCATCTGACATAGCTGTTGTAGAGGGATGACATTCAACTCGTATTCGTGTTGGAAAATCAAATTGCCCAAGAAGAACTCGCCCATGAGACCATCTTTAATTTCTCAATTATTTTCTAAGTGTTTGCAAAAAAACATACATCGCAGAAGCATCAGCCGAAGTATCCGGTTCGAAGCGTTCTCTTAATAAAAATGTGCAAATTAATTTGCTACAAATCATGAGGCATTTAACTAGCATTTTGCATAAGATTACCTTAATATAGGCCGAATCCAATCTGCCTCATCTTCCTCATCCATTGCTTGGTTGCCATTAGAGATCGACTCTTTTGAATTGCTAAATGAACGTCTGAGTGACAACTGCTCCGTTGTAACTAACAACCCGGCTCCAGACCTAAATGAAGTCAATTACTATTCGATGAGTATTCTTTGAGTTGCGAAACTCTAACCTGGAATCTGCTCTCAGATTAAACCGAAAACGCAATTCGCATTGTGTATCAGTGTGAGCAAAAAATGGACTAACTATCATAGCAACATGAGATTCGTTCATATCATTAGAAAAACGATAGTAAGCATAATGATCTAAACATCAAAGCGTAAATTGTAAAATTAATTGAAACTACTAGAATTAATGTCATGGCCACCCATAATGCGGAAATTATATATAGACAATGTTGTTGAAGTGTTATTATTATCAAAATATGTATTATTATGCATTTGTAGATAAGATTGTTTTGAATTAACAAAATTCCACAACGCGCAATCCTCCTCGAATCCTTTCTCAAAAGTGCAGGTTCTTCCAAAAGTATGTGGTAGGGCTAGAACTGTGTGGCAAAATTAAAAATTGCGCCCTTTTGGTCGTGCCCCCCCCCCACTCTATTAGGCAGTTTTATGTCAAAAATTACCTTTAGACATTAAAGAAACAAATATACAAAAGTGAGCTTGAGAAAGTAAAAGAATGTACAACTGTAGTCTAAATTTAACAAAAAATCTAATAAATGATGGTTCGATAAGAGAAATTATCTCCATTATACATTCTAAAAATACTATTGTATGTAGAACGGATAAACAATTATAAGATTAAATAATAAACTTATTTTCTATTAAACTTCCTTAAAAACATATTGAGTACTATATTTATCCATTTTTTCCATTATTCTGCCATTTATTCCTCTCTTTTAGATATTTAGCGTGATCTAGAAACAGCCGCTCAAAATTTAAAAAGCAGAGATCTCTCCTTGGAGGACTTTACCAAATCAATCTCTCTCTCTCACCCTATTGTTAAGAGAGAATTAGAGAGTAAATGACAGCTGACACCTCTTTGAATCAATGCCAATTTATTTACTTAAAGACTGGTCCACTAAAGTTTTCTACTGATAAAGTATGAGAAAAGCTAATAACAAATCATTACTCTTAAAATCTTAATTTCCCTGGTAATTGTAAAGTTTGTGGTTTAGGGGTGTATTTCTGGCATAAGAGGCCAAAAAAGCAGAAGAGGAAGGTAGAAGAACAAAAAAAGACGGGATTCATCGGAAGACAGGAGCGGAAGAAAACCATTCCTGATGTGGTTGGACCTTTTCGAAAAATGATGAAATTTCCAAATTTGTGTAAATTCTTAGATTAATACAAATCAATTTATAATTCTACTTGTACATAAGAGATAGTACATAATATATAGCTCATTAACCGTAATAATTAAAAAGAAAAAAAATTAGATATTACGTACACTACGATTTTGCTTCATTTAACATTTTCTCGATTTGTGCAACCTTAGCATCTCTATCAATTTCAACCTCCATCGCAATCTTTGAAACCTCTTCCAGTTGCTTATTCTTAATTTACAAATTATCTAATAAATACAAGATAAACAAAAATTATAAAGAAGAAAATAAGGACTATCCAAATCAGGAAGAAAATAAGGACCATCCAAATAAGGACCCATCCAAATTAGTAAGAGGACTTCCCAGTAAGTGGATCAGAGGACACCCCAAATAAGTTTACCATAAATACTCATTGCCTAAAAAAGGGACATAAAAACTTAACTCAATTAAAAATTTAGATAAATAATAATAAAGTAATAATACCAATGAATCCAATGTTGACTTGAATTGTTTGTTTTCTAAGACGAGCTTTTCAACAACCGCAGAATCTTGTTCGACATGAGTACCGGAAATGTTTCCATTGGTAATGGGAGGCGTACCATTAACAAGCGATTTGGAAGATTGGAGGAGCTAAATTATAATATAGTAAAATATTCATCACACTAATTAGAAACCTTCACAGTATCCATCAGCTTATAATTAGCATCTCTCAACTCTTGATTACGAGAACGTTGTTGATCCAGCTTTGTATTCAATTCCGCAATTGTACCCTAAAATTATTTTATCATAAATTGTCTAAATAAATCATATACCTTGAATTGATCCAATTCAACAGATGATTGACTCATAGCTTTGTTTTGAGATTGGAAATTAGTGGCCTCCTTCTTTAATTCAGCATTGACAGAAACTAATTTTTCATTTTCAGCCTGAACAGCTTCAAATTTCGCTTGAAGCTTATTATACAATTCAGAAGCATGGCTCATCTCGACTTTTAATTTCTCAATTTGCTTATATGCATCGCTTCGAATTTTCTAAAATATTTGTAATAAATTTTTTTAGAAAATAAAAACCTGCTCATCAACGAGTTTCTGCTCAATTTGTGATTTCTTATACTCAAGCTCCCGAACAAAATCATTAGCATTAGTAAGTTCTTTGGCCAGTTGTCCATTAGCATTTAACCATTCTTGCTCCACGTTTTTAAAATGACCACGTTCATTCTTTTAAAAAATTGACATAAATTTTAAGTATTTTTGGGGTATCTCAAACCAATTTTTGCGAAATATTTATGCGGAGTAATAATCATAATGATCAGAACGCCCATACATAACTTTTCTCTATTCAATATAGGTATTTGCGGAAGTTTTTGTCGACATTTAGGGGAGATATTGGGAGTTGGGGTAATTTCTGCTTTATATTTGTGAAACAACAAAAATATGCCCGCAAAAAATGGTCTGGGATAACCGATAAATACCAAATTTTATATCAAAACAAAAAACTAACATTGAATTCAATTTGAAGAGCTTGACGTTGATGTTCAAAGTTAGTCTCAATATTTCGAATCATAATATCTTTTGAATGAATGTCGGCAGCTGCTTTCTCCATAAAAGTTTTTGCAAGGTCACGCTCTTCACGAAGTTTCAGCACCTCTTTCATAGCCATGTCGCGATCTTCGCAAAACTTAGTAATCTCTGTTTTCTTCTTTTCCAATTGCTCACAAAATTGTTCACATTTCAAACGTAACTTTTTGTTTTCATCACCCAACTAAAAACAATTAAATCAAAGAAAAAAAAGAAAAACAAACCTGGTGAGTCTCAATAAGCTTGTTCTTCACAGTTTGTTCAAAGATGACATGACGTTCGTCTTGCTCGTTCTTCTCTCGTTTCAATTGAGCATTCTCAGCGCCCAATTGTTCCAACTCCCTAAGCTGTTTTTCTAATTGTGCGGAGAATTGATCGTTTTTAGAACGCAGTTTCTTATTTTCATCATCCATCTTAAGTGTAAGTATAAATAAACAAAAATAGCAAACCCCAATGTATCGCGAGGCCAATGTACCGCTGATGTGAGCTTAACATGGTTCAAGATCATCGAATCCATGACGCGCAGTTATGATTTCAGCTCGTCGGCGTGCATCGAACCATAACATTATGTCCCGGATTCGATTTCAACAAAGTTACAGCTCGCCAATACATTGGCCTTGCGGTACGTCGACTCCCCAATAATTAAGGACTAAAGAAAAGAAATTGTTCTTGTATAATATGTAGAGTTAAAATTAAAAAAGAACCTGTTTCGATTCAACAGTCTTGTTTTTAATCGTTTCCTCATAGACGACAAGTTGTTCGGCCTGTTCATTCTTCTCTTTTTTCAGCTCCGCATTTTCAACCCGCAAATTCTCCAACTCATCGTTAACCTCAGAAGTTGAAGATGACACTAATATGATTTAAACAACAGAATAAAAAGTAAAAACAAAACCTTTGACTGCTTCTTCCATTTGTTTAACAACCACAAAATCACCACTAGCTTCATCATCTTCAGAAACATGAACCTCCTTATTATCAGTTTCCTTCTTTGGACTTTGCCTTTTAGAATGATTACGCCTCCCTTTTACCTTGCCTTTTTCTGCAACCAAAGGTTTAGCCATATCATTTCCATAAACCTATAATTTTATTTAAGTATTAAATCATAAGGATTAATATATTACCTCTTCAAATGTTGTTTCTCGCGTTAATAATTTATAAATAGTAAAGCATGATCCAATAACGATAGCAACAACAGCAACCAAACCTCCGATTGTAATAATATCCATTTTTTCACTAGAAAAAAATTAGACGTAAAAAAAGAAATAGAAAAGTACGACTGATAATGCTCAAAGGACTGATAATTCTGACTGATTGCGAGCCAGACTAAACACTTCATCAGATACCTGACAAAATAAGTTTAGGTAATTAGTTTGTTGACATTTCGACATTTTAATTTAGAAACGGCCAGTTTGCCGCGAGTCGGAAGTTCCAGTTAAGTCCCGCCGGAAAATTTGAACTTTCTCATTGGAATTTATTTTTAGACCGACCTAAAAACTTTCTTCATTTAATTTTGAAGATCAAATGATAAGATTTATTCTGATTCAGAATCGTGCAGGTTTTATTTTGATAACTAAAATGTTTTTGATCCAATTTTTATATTATTTAGGAAAAACTAGGCTAGCGAAATGGTACATGCATTTTGATGATGACGAAAAGCAAAAATTAATTGAAGAAGTACATGCAGTAGTTACTGTTCGAGATGCAAAGCACACAAATTTTGTTGAGGTTTTTATTCGCCAATATTTTCTAATTTTAAAAAATAACGGAGCAGTTCAGTCATACCCTATAACTCACGCATAGAGGTCACTTCTTCATGTTAGTAGTACCATTGGACAGAGAATTAAAAGTTCTACAGAATACAAAAAAATCAAAATTCCTGTCTGATTGATAAAAAAAGTTATGTTCTAAAAACTAACCTTTTCGGCACTTTATCGATCATAACTTTTTATCAATCGATCGAAAGTTTTGATTTTTTATATCTTGTAATAATTCTCTATCCAAAAAGTACCAAGAACACTAAAAATTATCTGCCCTTTTCAAGTTATTGGCGCCGTGACTGAAATGAGCCGAGACTGAATTGTGGTGTACTAAAAATATTTTATAGTTTCGCAATTTCAAAATTGTTTATCGGAGGTATGCCGGACTTTATTTTTGTATTTGTGTTGACATAATGGACAACAACTTGTATTACCTCGAAGCAATACACAATTTTGTCGAGGTTGGATTTAAAATTTTGAAAAACAAATTTTTTTAAATTTCTAGGTTCTTAATGAGTACTTTCACAATGTTTGCGAACTCGATCTTGTCTTTAATTTTTATAAGGTTTGTCTTACTAGTAAGGGATCAAACTAAAAGGTCAACTCCAAATATTTGAGTGGATAAGGGAGGATTTGTGGGGGATATCATGTGGTCAATAGGAAGTTGATCTTCTGGATGGACCCGTACATAATATATTGATTTTATAAAAATAAATATTTAAGGTATATTCTGTTGTGGACGAGATGTTTCTGGCAGGAGAGATCCGGGAGACGTCACAAACAAAGGTACTGAAACAGCTAATGATGCTTAGCTCCTTAGAATGAAGTCATAATAAATCAAGTAATTTAATTCCTACACTTATTTGAATCATTTCGTTCTTTCTTTTTCTTGACTTTTTATTTTTAAATGTATATTGGAATATATTGGTAAATATTATCAATTATTTTTCGAGTTCTTGAGAAATTTCTAGGTTCTTTTTCTAAAAGTTTGGATGACCCATAATTCTGTTCTGAATCATCAAATCTAGCTGATAATGGTATCCGACCCGCGAAGAGCTCTTTCCAATGCAAAGAAAGGGAAAAAGAGGGTGTCGGCCAAACTATTACCGTTCTTTTTACCCAGCTTTAAGGCCGATTTTAAATTTTTTCGAGTCCTTTTTTAGTAAAATAACTTAAAATGTCAATACATACTTTTTTGGGCTTCCATTGTTAAAATATTTTTGCCTGGTATATTTTGCCGAATAAATTCAATATATAAATTCTCCTTTACCAAAATGTGATCACTGATCCGCGTCAATACATATAGTGAATGATATTTAGAAAAATAAGCAGTAAGCGCAGAGATGAGAAGTGCTACATATTCTCACTCTACTACTATCCGGTTCTTCTTGCTCCTCACAATTTTTTACCCTCATCATTTTCCGCCAACTAAATATTTTCACAACATCAACGAATGGGACACATATATTCACTCAATGCTGCTAGAAATTTTGTACTGCGCGGCATTTCATCCATACAATTTATATACTATCCGATGTTTACACAATAATGCGTGAAAGTTAACATGTTGTAATACATTCAAGTGGGGAAAACTTGAAAAAAATATTAAATCATTTCTTCTATAAATATTTTGATTTTATATTGTTAAAACAAATTTTTCTCATCTGAGCCGTAGCTGAACTGTGTGGTGTGCCCTGAACTGTTTTAGATAAAGTCCATCCTTAGCATTAAGCAAAATTCATTCATTTTGGGTTGATTCTCAGCCCCCTTCCCAACAACTAACGGAAGTTACTCTCCAACACGAATTTCAACAGCAAGAATACCATATTAGCCGAAACCAATCATACAACGTAATACAAGAACAAGGCGATTCGAAAATAGAAAAAATGGCCTCAACGAGATTCTACGCTCACATCTCATTAAGCATTCGTTTAGTAGTGCTGGTTGGTAAATATCGCTTACAAGTTGCTTTACCACATTTAATTTTTCTATTTTTTTTGAAGATAAGTTGTGTGGTTTCCATGATATTGATCCTGACAGCTCCGTATGTTAATCTTGCATAGTAAATTACATACTAAATTTTAGTGGAGTTTGTTTTTGGAGAACTATCAACTCTACACAACAAAGCCGAGAAATTTGTCCACCATCTTTTTTTCCGATGAGCCTTGACCGTTGGAGCTCTTCGTTACACTTTCAAATGCGTGGACAAAAGTTGGCATTAAAACACATGATTTTTAATACCTTCACATAATTTCAGTGTTTGGGGGCAACTAGCCATTATCATTCTCAGTTTCCTTTTTGCACTTGCGCCATTGATATTTACCTGCATTTATCTAACCTCAGGAAGGAGCTTAAGTTTCTCTGTTTGGATATTGTATTAAAATTTTAAAAATTTCTGTTTTTAGCAAATTATTGCTTCCATTGTTGGTGTGATTGCGTTTCTTATTTTTGGTGCATTTGAGGTAACGCTAAAGTATTAGCTATTAATAAATAAATTCTTTTAGACATGGTATGCAACAGGATTTGGTTAGTCTTTTTTCCATTTTCTTTAATATGAATGTTTAAACTCAGATCATATGCCAACATTTATCCGACAGGTTATTTGCTCATAAATACCTTTAAAAGTTTTCCGATTTAAAAGTTTTAGATTGGAGGCGGTACATTCAGCGGATGCGCTGGCATTCCAGGTACAACCTTTCGAAAAACAGCATTCCTAATAAATTTTTAAAGGATGTGAAACTGGTTTCTTGGTTAAGGGATGGGCGGGTGCCGCGGTATTGCCTATACATCTTTACATATCTAATCGAAGATTACTTTAGGCTTTATATTTTTTGTGCGCCCTGTTTTTGTTGGCGGATGCTGTTGTTGTATTTATACGCCGAGATAAGTATGTCCATTAATTCTTGGTTAATCCGATTCTCTAAGAAGCTCCCAAAAATTTAAGTAGCTTATAAAACTGATTAAACTAAGCAAATACTATCTTTTTTAACCAACAGTGGAAAGCAAAATAACTCTTACATTTAGCACAACTGCTCGACATGATTGCACAACACTTCAACAAAGGCAAACAGGAAGAGCAAACTATTAATATTTGGCAGTCCTACGTTATTTTTGGACTTGTTTCCCCTTCATAATCCTACATATTTTTAAAAAGCCAATAAAGTACATTATGTAACATTGCAGGGAAGTTTTCCGCGCATAGCGTAGAGAGATGAGTAGGATCAATCCTGATCTCGCTCATAAACTTTATTAGCATGATTTATAATTAAAAACATTCAAAAGTATCTGAACTTTTGAGCCAATTCCCGTCGTGTTTTCGTATTTCTTTGACGCTCATCCACAAACTGCTTGAAAGAGTTTACCAAAACAGGCAGATCAACATTAAAATCACCACTGATAATTGCGGCATGACTAAAATTGGAAAATATGTATAAAATTTTGGTAAGGATTTTAGTAAGGTTTACCTTATATAGTCGAGATGTAGCCGCATAAACTCCACGTAACCACACAAACGAGGTATCTGGACACCTGAAAGATTGATAGGATAATATTAATGAGAATATTAAGCGTTAAGCCAGTAAGTGATAAAAAAAGACCTTTATGATTAACAACTAGACGTAGCCTCTGTTGTATTTTTGGCCAAATTGCGCGAGGAATCAAGAAGCTAAAAATAGCTTTAGAACAAAAATTAAGCATAACATAATCCAAAAATAAAAGCAAGTAAAACTCGCCTAAGCAGTTTCCGAACGGCTCCCGACACGAGTCCTTCCATGCCTGCTCGATAGATTTTGAAATCAACTCCAGCTAATAATACATCGTTATAGAGGCGTGAATGGCGAAAATGTGGCTTTATCTTAATGATATGTATGTAAATTCAAAGAATAAAATTTTTCACCCCAACTCGGAGTTGACCATTTGCTGAAAGGATGTTATAAGTTCGATTCTTACGCCAAAAATGAGCCTGAAATTATGAATTTATAAAGTAAAAAGGTATAAAAACTCACTCCAATATCTCCTTCAAGCAAAAGTGTTACTCCATTACGATCGATAAGAGCTTTCGGTGTTTTTGTAAGGTTGGCACTAGAAGAATTGGTTATTTTATGTATATTAAAATTTTATTCGCTACCCACTTAACACGTAAACGGCAATCCGCACATACCAATTTGGACATTGAACGGCTTTCAAATAAGAAATCAGTTAAATCACCTTATTAAAAGCTTACAGCATTCGTGGCATATGATAATGTGAATAACTAACAGAAACATGACCAAGTCCAGAATTAAAAATGTGGTAGAACAGAGTATTCGGCAAAAACTCACTAAAAATAAGTCCGAGCATCTGTCAAAAATAAATATTAACAAAAAACAATAAGAAAATTCGACCTGATCTCTAACTTGTATGTCATTAAACTTAGGTCGTTTTACGAAAGCAGGTGCTCGATTTCCATTGCTCATAAAACCACCATCGATTCCAAAGATTAAATCTCGCTGTGAAAATTTAGGTGGATAGCGAAGTGTAAGATCTGGCAGCAAATTAGGAACGTTCATCTCAGCAATGTCTACTTCTAGTGCTTGTTCATCTTCAGAAGATGCGGATTTGGAATGGGACATTTCCTTAATATAACATTGAATATAAAGACAATTCTGATGACTTTAAACCTGATGATTTTCGCTGACGCCTTGTACTAAACTAGATCTCCTTCGACCGTCAGAATGTGTTGAACAAAGTTGATTGAAAATGGTAGAAGGATCGTCAAGGTTGTTATGATCACTATAATGAGTCGTTTGGTTTGTAAAAGATTGAGGACTGGAAATCTCATGTATCTTTGATAAAAAATATATTAGAGTACAATGTTGAAAATTACTTTCTGATAAATAAATTCGCGCATGAGTGGCGGCAAAGTACAAATTTTATCACGAATCGCGCCGTCAATACCATCCCTAAAACATAAAAGTAGAAAAATCCGGAAAATTAAATACAGACCTAATCATATCGACAATAGCATAAAATTCACTTGCTTCGGGTCCATAAAATTTCATTACAAACGTTCCAGGATTAACTGTACAATTTGTGACCTCAACGGAAGTAGATTCTTCTGAAAGGTTGCGATGAATGAACACTCGCATTTGCACAGTTCTACAAATTAAACAAAATATGTGCGTAGCAGGGGTGTGCCGAAGCATATCTTAAAAGCGAAACTCGAAAGGGAACTGGCACTCCCCCAAGCTGGCACATAATAAAATAAATATTACAAGTACAAACATACAAATTAAATAAGTTAGCCACTAGTTGAGCATTATATTTAGCGAAGAAGAAAGAAAGTTCCTAGAGAAATAAAACTCAAGTTTTATAATGCGCAACAATGAGAGAACCGTTCCTCCAGTTATGCTCACTTCTGGTATACCAACAGAAAGATCGACACCTAAAATAAATGTTTTGTCAGCCTAAAAAGTATGATACCGTAGTCTGGAACGAACTTAACTCCAATCTGTGGCTCTTCCATTTTAGTAATCACAGCATCACTAATTACAAGACCACTTTCACTTATCGTCGGTAAAGCTAACCGATTCTAAAAAATATAGTGGTTTTTAATCATTATATTGTGATAAACCTACCATAATTTTAGGCAACCCTTTAGATGCTAAGTTTGCAAGATAATCAACACCTTAAAATTTAGTAAACTTTAGATTGTGGTTCAATTAATCCAGTATTTAAATTCGACCTTTTTGGCTTATCCGAAAGTAGATTCCAGAAGAACCATCTTCAGCTGGATCGTCGATTTGAACGGATTCATAAACACCACCTCTGTTGCTCAAGTTGTCTGATTTTGTTGTTCCTATAACATCTTAACATAATTCATTTTAAAATGTCAGGTTAATATACCATCTGATCGAATAAATAGCACCAGAAAGCAGAAATGAAAAATAATTAAAGCAAGGTTGGAAACCATTAATCCCAACTTCATTGTATATGTACAAGTATTTGGCTTTGTTAAATGAATTGATTTGTCTTGGCTTTAATCGTTCTCTATAAATGAATGGGACCCCGTTAGGCAAAATCGCCCCCAACACAACTGACAATGTGCGGCTAGCAAAAGATTTAATCAAGAGTGGCAATATTTGTGGAAAAATTATTTCTCTTATGTTCAATTAACCACTTCTCTACCCCTTATTACAATCAATTTTCCCATAAAGATTAATGGCCATTATGGGAAACAAAAGTCGGCTGAATCATTAAAGGAACTACTGATGTTCTTATCTTATGAGAAGAGTTAGATAAAAATTTTCAAAATAAAAATTTCCATTATATAAAGCAAACATCTAGGTAGAAGAAAATTAGTTAAAATAGGACTAAAAATGAATGGCAAATTCTATTTGCATATACTATGCCTTATTCAATTTTAAATCTCAAGAAAGCTTATAAAAAGATGACAAACTAAGCTTTAACTCTTATGGATTGTCCAAAGTGAGTTTTGTTGAAAATTTACATTAAAACACCCTACTTAATTTTAGAATTTATAAGAACTAAAAATAAACATTAAAAAAACTTTACCGACAAAATCTAAAAAAACGAACATTGTAAGAATAAATGAATTTTGTCTTAATGTATTATAAACATGTATTAATTCAAGAAAACCAGTCATTCTTTCATAATATACCTGAAATTGGGAAAAAAAATTTTGATTATTAAAAATTTTTAAAATAAAAAGAAAATTTGTGTGCTTGATAGCAACGAACCACAGACAAAAATGGGATTTAAATTTAAATAAAAAAATAAAAATTTACATATAAACACTTTAATTCTTATTGTGATCCACCAGCGCCTTCATTACCAGGGCTAAGACCTAAAACATTCATTAATCGCGATTTCAGTCCTCCCGAAGAATGTGATTGCGTCATTTGTGAACGTCCCATCACTTGCGCTTGATTAGAAGTAGTCATTTCATCAGATACATGCATTTTTGGTGGAGAATCAGAACCGGTATAAGTTGTACATTGCTGCGATGCTATGCCAGGCTGAAAATTGAAAGATGGCAACAAGGGACACATAAGCAATTGCTTCCCCAAATTATTTAAAGATCCTTATAAAATGGAAAACGTCAAGACAGAAAGCGCAATCACAACAATAATAACCACAAAGAATTTAAAAAAAACTTTAAAACTATTTTTTGACCTTAAGTTAAACCACTGCTGCTTCTCCCTCAGATAAATCTATGCTAAATCACGCATCAACTTGTTAAAACTGCTTTCTTCCATTTGACGACCGCATTCGGCTTCCGACGACTTAATTGGTACGGTGATAATTAATCACCGTTAAAAAATACCCCCAGACACCCTCAGAAAGACCCTAGCCCAGTGTTAATGTTTGTAAGAAAATACCTGTTTTTTAGCACGCAAAGCAGCATCCTCAAGAGTTTCAGCAGCTTGATATTTGCCTTGACGTCGATAGAGTGCTCCAAGATTTTTTAATGTAGTAGTTACAGTTGGACTATAAAAGGAAAAAAGTATTAGTTGGTAAACGTAAAGAAAAGTAAAACCTCAGCCAAAATTTTTAAATAAAAATGCGTACTTATCGACTTTCATCATTGCATCCTGAATATTTTCATGATAAATTCCACTATCTGCATGTTGATTTTTAGTATTTTCACGGTCCTCAGCAATTTGCCAAATAGACTTATTGTCGTTGCTAGTCTCTCCATATTGACGTTCATGGGCGCGCGTTAGAATTTGCTTGTACAATAACTCAGCTTCCTACAAAAGAAAATATAGTAGAAAAAAATAAAGATTTATGTGAAAACCTTGTATTTTCCCTGCTTTAGATAAGCAGAAGAAAGATTGTTCATAGTTTTCGCTACATTTTGATCATCTTGACCAAATTTTGCCTCATAAATTTTCAGTGCGCGTTTGTAGTACTTTTCAACTTCATCGTAAAGACCCTATAAAATACATAGAAAATCATGATAGTTAAGAAAAATAACCTGATTTTGATAAATCAATGCTAAATTATTCAATTGCTTTGCAACATCCGGATGATCAGCACCAAGCACTTTCTCACGAATCTCCAATGCCCTCTTACATAAAGGCTCCGCATCTTTGTACTTTCCACGCTTCCCGTGAAGAACAGCCAAATTGTTAAGAGTGGCCGCAACCTAAAGAAAAAATAAATTCTTAGCGAAAGAAAAGAATTACCGCAGGATGGTCTTCCCCTAGACAACGCTCACGAATAGCCAATGCTTCATTCAATAAAGAAGCCGCTTCTTTATATTTACGCTGATCACTATAAACTTACCCAATTTATATTAGTTGAATGAATTTAAAATACCGGTAAACAAGAGCAAGAATGTTCAACATACTTAAAAAATAAACTGTCAAATTTAGCAATAAAAAATACGTAGCGACATCCGGATGATCATGTCCATTATTCTTTTCCAAATCTTCCAATGCTTGCTTACAGAGTGGAACAGCAACTTCATAGCGTCCCTGTGCCGCATAAGTGATAACCTTAGAAAATTTTCCAAATAAAATTAAATAGACAAAAAGGACATACAAGATTATGAAGTGTTTTTAGTCGTTGTGGTATATCATAGCCAGCAGTTGCACTCGCAGCCATTGCATTTGCCGGAGTTGGCATTGAATATTGACCACTTGTATCTAAAAATAAATATAAGATAAACGGACTTGTGTCCCCCATCCTCCCCTCCCCCCCGTCAGCGCGTTTTCTTTATGTACAAGATGGTCAGACATTTCATCCCTGTATAAATTCAAGAAACTGAATTCATTGTTCTTTCAATACTTTTTATTTGTAACCGTCTTTAAGAAAAGACATCGATTTATTCAGTCATTTACTAATATGTAACAAGGGTAAATGTATGAGAGAAGCAATCAAAAACAAAAAAGGTGTCGGAATTGAAGGAAGAGTGCCGCTGAATGAATGAAGCCACAGGGAAATTTAGATAGACTATGCAAGGAAAAAATGACTGACAACTTTGTACATCAAGTGAGGGGGGAATAGGGCACGTTCAACTATTAATTGTTTATTCAATTTAGACAGAACAAATATGTAAACATTGCTCAGTTCTGTTTATGAAAATAATAGAATAATTTCCGAGGATGTATCGACATGAAGGCCTATAATAAGGGCATTCAGTCTTCTTTTACCTCAGGAAACAAAGATAAACACAACTGACAATAACACATAGTCGATATAACAACCTAGTCCTTTCCCCCATAAATGTTTTTTATGAAAATCAAATTAAGACAAAAAAAACAAACTTTGCAAATCCTCCTCCTCATCACCAAAACCAAGTTCCTGCAATGTTGAATTATGGACATCGCTTGCAGGACGTTGCTGTTCAGCTTGATCCCCTTCCTTGTCAGCAAGTTCCGGCAAATCCTCATCAAATTTCTTGATGCTATTCATGAATTTCAGGTGCTTGTTTTCTTCTTCCAATTGCGCAATGTTCTAACAATAAGTATAAATTAATTCAAATATAGAAAAATAAAAAAAAAACCTGCATTGCTGTACGAAGTTGCTGTTGAGTCGAGTTCAACTAAAACACTTTGTTATAGAAAATAATAGCTTATAAAACCTCATCACGAATCCACGCATTTTCTTGACATAGACGACGAACTTGAGCTTTATACTTTTGTTTGTCAGCCTCCAAATTTTGAAAATGTGAAGCAAGTGCAACCATGACCTGTAACACCAAATCAAAAAGTTAAATTTATTTTAGGAAACCTGAGCCTCCTCAACCCCTAAAAGTATATTCTCCAAATTCCTATCAACAATTGATGTTTTCTCGTCAATCAACTGACGCTCATCCGGTGTAAGCAGATCAAGACCACCAGTCAGCTTGTTTTTTATTGCTTCATGTTCATCTCGCAATGCATCCAAACCTTGGGCAACTACGCGAATATTTCGAAAAATTTCGTCCTGTGCTGGCATTTTTAAAGAATTTTTAAGCTCTAAAATGTAAAATAAAAACAATAAAATAGTAAAGTACATAATCATAAAAAATCACAAATCGCTTCAGCCAAAAAACCCTTACAAAAAAATTTTCCATGAAAATTGCATGTCTCCCTAAATCGAACAAATATTCGTGTCCGGACAAAATATCGAATCGTTAAAATATGGAATAGGCTAAAAAAGGGTTAAAATCTCGAATCGGGTAAAAATGGGTTAAAATCGCGAATAGGCTAAAAAGGGGTTAAAATGTGGAATCGTTAAAATATGGAATGGTCAAAATATGGAATAGGCTAAAAAAGGGTTAAAATATGGAATCGTTAAAATATCGTTAGATAAAATGTCGACATGGCCAAAATAGGTCAAAATGTCGAATTTTTTAAAAATATCGCCAAAACCTAGAATCCGGGCGTTACCGTAATACCGACGGTATTTTTCGGTATTCCGAGTCGGTAGTACAGTACGGAATTCCGACCGATAAAATTTAAAGGCTGATCGGTATTTTTCGGTATTCCGTACCGTATACGGTAGGGTACAAAATTTAGGTCTTAACTAAAAACTAGTGCACGCCACTCTAATTTTTCCGTATCAGGATCGCGTTATGTTTTCCGGATTCGTACGATCATGCCGGACCGGATCCGGTCTTGATTTATCCGGTCCGGTTTTACTCCATAAAATACACTGAACTCGGGCAGAAAAGATTACGCCGGACTATGACATGCGAGACTTATCAATCAAATTATCAAAAATAAGTTGATAAGTTGATAAAATTATCAACAATCAATGTATGGCACTCATCTGACCCTTTTTTAAAAGAATTCGACATTTTGACCCATTTTGGACGTGTCGACATTTTTACCATTCCATATTTTAACATTCGATATTTTAACCCTTTTTTACCCGATTCGATATTTTAACGATTCCATATTTTAACGATTCGGTATTTTAACCCCTTTTTAGCCTATTCGTGATTTTAACCATTCCATATTTTAACGATTCCATATTTTGTACCGGAGCCCAAATATTCTCTTTATTCCACGTAGTCTATCATCGATTCTTTTAAGGTCTTTTAAGTCTAGGTTCAAGCATCTCAAATACAACAGGCACCTAATGTACTCAATACGACAATCTCCTTTTTTTTTTTGAAAAGGCTCAATGGAAAAAAGGTCAGAAGAATAAATGGTCAATTAGCAGGGCTAAATTACAGTAAAACGGACTTTATCACACGATTAGAACGGATATGTATAAAAATTTCTAAATCGATAATACTGAGTACAATTTCTTTTACCCAGATAAAGATGAAATTAATATCTTGTTATTAGAACGTCTTTTCAGGCAACAAAGCGCAAATCCCAGCAGAACGGCTGTCAGTAAACTAACCAAATTTAGAAGTGTCAATGCCTTTACGACTTTTTGAGAATATTCCAGCGCAGATCTTAGTTTACACTCTGTACTTCTATCATTATTCTCTGCAAATTTAAACAAGTAATGCTATCTAAATAAATCAACCTTCGCTCGCTTCAACAGTATCCAAACGAACGGTTAATTTGTCAATTTGAGGTGCCATACTATATCTCTCAGAGGAAATCATTTCCGAATTCGATGTAATTTCGCGCTTTTGTCTTTGAAATTTATAGATGTCTCTTGAAGATGTGCGGCTGGTACATTTTTGTTGCTAAAATATTGCATAAGTAAATTAGCAAATTCATTCTTACGGTTGTTCTTCGACATTCAGGATCGATTTTTAAACACGCATACAACAAGCAATCAAAGAAGATTCGCGAAGAGGAATTGAAACGGAATACTCGGCTAGATGCCAGTGCTTGTGAAGGATTGTCTATATACTGCGGGTGCGGCATTAAAGATGTGTCAGTGGAACATCTAAAAATTTTTTTTGAATTCATGAATAGCTAAAACATAATCCACCCTTGATCATTAATGATTTGATGCTCTCTGTTACGACCATCTGTAGCATAACACCGATATACCTATAATTATATAGAACATATCAATACGGGACAAAATCAACAAACTTTAAGCGCATATTTATCATCACAGCGCCATTTGTGAAAAACACGATCGCCTAACTTTACTTTGTCAGCCACTGGCCCATTAACTGAATTACTGTGTATTCTGAAAAGTTTTTCAATCAGAAACAATTAATTCAACTTATCAATTACGTATATTTGCATTCAGGCTGATGAATTTTAGTTGAAGCAAGTTTTTCATCTACTGACTTATCTACCATTAGTGTTCCTTTTACTGCACTAATTTTGAAATCATGAATGATGTGCATAACAAAGGATTTTTACCTTATTTCCAAAACTTGTCCAATTGTTTGATTAATATCAGAGAAATACTGGCAATGAATATCAAAAATACGCTGATTTTGTTGAATTTTTGGTAATTTTTGGAAACCACTAATCCTATTCATATGAACTTGAAACTCATTTATATCAATATGATTAAGTAGAACACGTAGTGAATATTCTAAACCAACACGTGGAAATACCTAATTAACAAAAAAATAATTTAAATGCACAAAATGTATAACTCATTTACCATTCGCCTTTTATTCACACCACATGGAAAGCCAAATTTTAGTTGAATTTCTAGGCGTAGAAGTGGTGATCTAGGAGGAAAAGGTTGCAAACATTCTAGCTCCTCTTCATAACCATTTGCGTATATAATGAATGGTAAATCTGACATGACTTCTGGATTTAGTATAAGAATACCAATAGAATCGGATGCGCATATTGGAATCGGAGACGTTTGTGTTAGCGATTTCTGATCGGTAAGTGGGAACTTGGAGATTTTCATGAATACTTGACTCGGCAAGTAAGAAAAAGATAGTAGCAAATTAATAGCCAAAATTAATTTTCGACTTGGATACAATGAATCTGGTGAACTCCTTATATTTTTAAATAAAAAGCAACGAGAACTCATCATTCTAAAAAATGAGAAACTTATTCACTAATAAAAAACTTGTACGAATATCTATTTTAAATTCCTTAATGTACTTGCAGCGACAGGCTAATAATTTCTATTTCTGAACTTTTTCTTTTTTTTGGGTAACAAGCAAAAGAATTCTGTTTCATGTTCTTCAAGAGCACTTCAAATTTGTTACTAGATATAATTCAAACATTTCTAGAGAAATAAGAATAATTGACAGTCAAATATTCAGAATTATTTTTAATCATGTCCAAGTATTTTAATTTTTAAATAGTTCATTTAGAGCTTACAACTTCTATTTTAAGCATATTTAATATAAGAAACATTTTAATTTTTTATATTTTTATAACATCGTTTTTCATGTAAAAAATAGACCAAAATAACCAGATGAAAGGTCATAGATTAGAACAAGTTTTAGAAATGTTTCGGGCCTCTAAATAACAATTAATATTCACATTCAATTACCCGCCAAATATCATTACCCATACTGTCTACTTGCACATTTTTGAATTTCAATTTCAAAAACCAAAAAAAAGATTCCCCTAAGAGGAAAAAAACCGGTTCAAGCAACAAAAGATGGAATAGAGAGCTTCATTTTTTTACTCAGTTCTATCGACTCTAATGTCTTTCAATTTGTGTCCTCGCCAGCCGGTTGGCCTATTCAAAGGATGGGAACTCTCTTCTCTAAGAAAAATCGATGCTTAGGCTGCTCATTGGTCCTTAGTCAATCCTAAAACTATTATATTTTCGTGCCAGCCAGTATTTAGGTCATTCCTTGAGGCAATAAACATGAACTCACATCTAAATTTTCAATTTTTAGATATGTATAATTGGACAAACACGTTCATTTTATATAGTACTATTTTATTAATCTTCATAAGACCACTAAAAAGCGATAGCACAGAAAATTCAAGCTCGATAAGTGAACAAATTGCGCCTGATTTGCATCAAGATAAGGAAAATGAAGAAACAAGCACAACGACATCACAGAATATCTTCACATTTGTTAAGCGTTTTCAAATTGTTTGTTGTATGGATGGAATACCTCAGTTGAGCCATCCAGAGCTGGTGCGGAACTTCAAAATAGACAAAGTAGGTAGAAATCCAGCAGCAGATAATTTTAATATTATAGTCAATGTCTTATGTAATAGCTGATCACAAAGAATATGGCCAATCCGTAAATCTCAATTCAGATGAAAATTGTCGGCTTTTTAAGGCATCAATCTATTAAATCTAAAAATATTTTATTTCTAAGGGTTCTTTTATGCTTCCACAATCTATTTTTGGTATACCTGTCGAGCTATCTTATGCTTCTCACGTTATTTGCAGATGCCCTGAGCGGACGCCAGGACACGCGTTAGATCGGTAAGTTAAAAAATGCAAATCTTTTTCATGTAAATTTAAGCTCCTGCCGAAGATTACCTAACTGTCAAAACAATGGATTCCGTTCACTGCTGGATCCAAGGCGGTGTTTTTGCTTAGAGCCATTTTTCGGTGAACGCTGTGAGAAGTTTTGTGACCGTGGTCGACGCTTGCATGGTACGTTACTTTTAGAAGAATGAAAAATTTTGGAGATTGTTTAAGGCCCAGATGGCATAGATTATTGCAGTTGTACCTCTTTTTATCGAGGAGAGGAATGTAGAGAACCTATTTGTCTTAATGGTGGACGACCATTGCTTGATGGATGTATTTGCAAGCCACATTTCTTTGGGCCTCATTGTGAATTCGATGGGAATCTTACACATCGCTTCGCATTTGAATCAAATATCGGTGACACGGAAACCGGTAAAGCAGGCGGAGCCTCTCCTCGATTTCGTCAACATTTTGAAAATTTTGAACATGTTGGTAAATTAAGCATTTGAAAAACTAAAGCCAACAAAGTGTTGTGTATTTTTATTTTCAGGGAAGTGAAGTGTTTTCTACTAGAGATGTGTCAGGCACTGTTTTTTCATTAGTCATGATAATTGTGGTAGGTTGAAAGAAGTAATACTTGTCTTAGAATTTTATTTTTAGCTCGTCTTAAGCATGTATTTATTGATGAAGCATCGAATGCAAGTAACAAACAGTAATTTTGTCGTAAATAATTTTCTATAATCAAAGGTGCAAAACCGTTATTTGAATAACAGGCGCACAGATTTACTCGGTGCTTGCAATTTCCCGCCTGGTCTTGATAGCACTGTGAATGGAGGAAGTAGTGAAGTAATGTCATCACGCCATGTACAGTTGCCACAAAGAGATAGATATAATAGACACGAGAGAATCGAACCTTTTCCAATTGGTAATGCAGAACCGGTAGTATCAGGAAGGAGTTCATTGCCACCGTTTATGCGATCATTGGGGCCGTTTTTTGCTGCTGGAGATGGTGGTCCACCGCCATACACACCTCAAAACCATAGAGGTAGTATGCAAAATAATAATGCAAAACCTACGAATTTTTAACTAGTACGTCGATCACGAAATGACGTTTTTCCACCATTGCCCAGCTATGAAGATGCGACAAAGCTTCCAGTCACTGGAGGTGAATTACAATTAGAAAACGAACAGGATCTGCAGAATCAAGAAAGACAAAGTCAAATGAGAGAATTGTGTAATACAGAAATGACGAATGAAGCCCAGATTGAACATGAGAATATTGGAACTCAATTACAACCAGAAGGGATCATTGACGAGTCTATAAATGAAGAGAGAGGAGCACAGGAAATGGATGAAAATGGATTAAACTCAACTGAATCCACTTATCATCAAACAGAAACTCAAAATAGGTAGCACAACAAGTATGCAAGATTTCGGTTTTATAAACCATTCAAATAAAGATCTCTATCGAAACTATTCATTGAATATAAATATGTACATAGAAAGATTTTAATTTTAGCATAATAAAAATTAATATATTATACTTTATATAAACATGGCAAAATAAATATAAAATTTAAATTTTAGAATGGTTTCAGAAAACAAATACTTATAATAAAAAAACTCATTTTTGAATGGTAATGAAAATCTAACATATACAAAAAATCTAAGATATTGTCAATTTAGTAAGGAAAACGAAAAGTGATTAAAGTCAAATTATGGTGAAAAAAGAAATGGAACGAGATGTCTTTTAAAATGAATATTATATATCATTGGCCAAGATAAAGAAATTAAGTAGTAATTATAGGAATTTAAATTAAAATGGAAATATAGGGAGTCTTATCTGGTTCTAAACATTTAAATTAAGTGTTGGTGTTGCAAGAAGAGCGCACTTACTAAATATAACTTGGAATTTGCACATAACTTTGCCGGGAAAATATATTAAAATTTCTGACAATTTTCGAAATTTGACTGTTACCAGGGTTTCGTCAAAAACCGGTGTTTTTGGTTTAACCGAACTGAAAACTGGAGGTAAACAACCGGCCATAACCGAGCATACTGGCCAACAAACTTAGTTTAAAGACAAACCTAAAAATATTTGTGCAAAATTTCATAACTGTCTGTCACAAGGGCGCTTGTCTTGTCTTTATCTAACTACCTTAATCAACATTAGAAGAACTGGCCTTCAATTCAGCTGAGACACGATTGAACACATCAAATATAGATTCACAAAAAACTGAGATGAGGTTGAGTTCTTTCTCGGAATCGCCGCGAAAATATTTGAGTTGAAACACATGGCTCTCAGGAAAAACAGAGTATCCAATAATGTTAGACCATTTCAAGCTAATAGTACGTCCCTATAACGAAAAATTATTTTTGAATGTAAAGTGGCACAAGTTAACCTTTTGAACATGATCTTTTTGAACCTTCAATGAAACAATTTTCATATCGACGGTGAGTACGGCAAGACCTTCTTCAGTTTCTGGTACTTCAAATTGACATTGTGGAAACGAAATACTTGAATAGCCTGAAGAATAATGTTATTTTTCAATTTTTAGTTCATCCTCATAGGAAGCAGGGATGTCACGATTACCCGAAACCCGATTCAAAAAAATGACTATACTATATTTATACAGAATGAGATTTAAAAATTTATTTTACCTTCAAGTTGACGTGCCAAGTTCAAGTACTTGAAACAAATAAAGTTTAATATTAAAAATTTCAAAAACCTGATCGCAGCGATCATCCCTTTGCAAAGCTTTCAGTTGATAAAGCTTTTCCCCTGCTCGAATACTGCCACTATTAATATCCTCCACTGCTTGGTGAAAGCCTTTAAATTAAACAACTTGAGTTAAACAAAATCAAAAAAGAACTAACATATTGCTTTAAATCGACTGTCAAGTTCGCAAAGCTTTTCTTCAGTGCTCACATCAAAACACCATTTGCGTAGAACAATGCAAGAGCTTGCGGCAGAAGAATAATTTTGAATATAAATATTATGAGGGCATTCCCGTTCATGTAAACGACGAAAGTGCGTGTCCTTTAACAATGAGAATTATTTAAAAAAAGGCAAAAATAAACAAACATCAATCATTTCAAAAAGCGCACAATTAGCTGCCGCTCGAGGGGATAATTTGAGATGTTCCAATACTTGTTGATAGACTTGATGTGTGTCACTATGTCTTTTAATATTTAATGTAAGTGTTTCACCGCAAACAAGTAGACGAAGAGAAACATTCAAAACTGGACTACTTGAACTAGAATCTTCCATAAAAAATTCCTGAATATATTAAAAAAGTTAAGCTCGTATTGTGTAAGAATAAAATAAAAAACCTGAACAATTTCGCAATCAGCTATAACTTTTACAGCACAAATTTTCTCCAAATACTGTTCAAGTAAACGTCTACGTCCATCTAGTTGTTGTTCTGACATGCGAAAAGGCCACCTGTTTGGTAATTTTGGAAAGGAAAAATCAGAAAATTCTTCTTTGAGCAATTTGTTAAGTTGAAGAAACTCGCTGAAACGACGCGAACCCAAATGACGACCGGCCATATGAATCGAATAGGCAACAAACTGAAAATGAAGTTAAGGTGACAGATTAACTAGTCATAAAATATACCTGTTCATCTTCCGTACTTACTGTCTGGTAATTGGGTATAGTGATGGGAAGTGATCTGGAAAAATAAATCAAAAATAAACAAAAGCCAATACCGTTTTTCTGAGTAATCATAATATCGATAAACATCATTGTTAACGCTGTTGTGATCATCGTAAGTGGCGCTAGCACCATTATAACCACAACAATTAGCTGATGAGTCAGAATTGTCCATAGGAGCAGTAATAACAAGCAAATCAAGTCTTAAGAAAAAAATGAATCTTAAGATCCCAGAAGAGAATTTTAATTATACCTGTCACCACCCGCTTTTATCAGTTCAACAACTTGACGATGATTAGCACCTTCCACATTAACACCATTTCTAAAATTAAATGAATCATCGTAATCAAACCAAAAAATTTAGGTTCACATAAAGATTCTAATCAATAAATTTAAAAAACTAACACTTCAACAATCCGATCGCCTTGACGTAATCCAGCCTTGTAAGCTGCCCCACCATGCAACACGGCACTAACATGCTGTAGTGGTGCATATAACTGGCCTAAACTAATTTTCTTTGAAAAAAACAATCATAGGATTAAATACCGCAATAAAAACGTAGTTGACCTCCTTCGCTAACTTGACCTTTTACATTAAAACCAAACCCTTAATAAAATAAATAAATCCTCAAATACTAAATAAGAAAAGAAACCTGACTCAGATTTACAAATCGTTATAGAATGAGGTCCAGATGTAGGAGCTTCCTTAGCAGACATTGTACATTTCTTATCAAAAATTGATACTAGTTCATCTCCATTTATATTTGAAGCTTCCATCGAGCATTAGATAATAGCAACTAAAAGGTTAAAGATCAAATTGAAAATAATTCAAAAGATCAAGGCAATATAAAAATGAACAAAATTTGGCCATGGCCATTTAAGTGTAAATTTTTTTAGATATTTCAAAAATTCGACAGGTCAATAATTCAAAATGTCAAATTACCCAAAGAATTTCAAAATGTAAATGACAATGGCATTCACAAAGATTGCCAACAATAAAACGCCATAAAAGGTATGAGTAAATCTACTTTAAACACAAGGAGATTTTACCAATAATCTAAGAAATAAAGGCTTAAATTTAAAACAAATTTATATTAATGAGATCATAATCATAAAAAAAACAAAGGAATAATAATAAAAAAACGAAATTAGTGAGCGGTTTTTCTTTTCAATAAAATCTTATTGCATATTACTGACACCCACAGGCATCAACACGCATATCTGCGTAAGCTAAAATAATAAAAATATATATATTAAGCATATTCACGTTAAAATAAAACCTTTAACAACAAGCGCATTATTATTTGTGTCCCTGTAAAGGATTGTAATTGAGCTCATTTGAACTGGTACACAGCTTGGGGCTAAAGCCGCTCCAGGATCAATTCTAAAAAAATTAATTTAATTAAGTCGCGATTTTTGTACTTACGAGTGAAGAAGTGATTGCATTATTGCGTGATTGCTGCTATTTAGGTGAGAAGGCAATGGGTGCGAACAACGACCTTTGTAAAATAAGAGAAAATTTTAATTTAATTTTCAACGGGGGGCAAAAACATGCTCAAAAATTTTTTACCTTTACATTGATAAGCTGCATAACCTGCTGGAAAAAAATTTTTAGATAAAAATAATGATAATCAAACATGGTGCAACAATCCAATCCTGCCAGTTAAGTTGTCCAAAATCTACATACAAATCAGCACGACGACATGCTGCTGTACTTCCCGAATTATGTTGACGATGGCGATGTTGTTGGGCTGCTAATCTTCGACGCTTTTGTCGACTTGTGTTTAACGATGCGTCTTCTTCCTCTTCAAATTTACTATTTTCATCAGTTGCGCCACTACTTAATGATCGCTTAAAACGTTGCTTTAGGTGTTTTGAGTCATTTTTGTTGAATTTCGATGCAAAATCAGAACCTTTATCATTTGCATAAATTAATAATGCTGCAGCTCGAAGCATATATTCAACATTATTTATTGGGATATTCGATGGGAAATGAAGTAGTAGATTCAACTATACTAATTGTAAAAAGCATAGATTTTATTTAATAATAAGAGTAGAGTTGTCGATTCTTGGAAAATCTTCGGACAACCGGAACAGAACCGAAGAAACGAACCGGAAATTTCGGATCTCCAAAACCAAACGGAAACCCCTCAGTTCTTCGGTTCGGTTCAGAACCGACAACCCTAAATAAGAGCATACTTTTTGGTTATGACAGGAAGTAGTAAGCAATTTGCCATCTAAATCGATCCATGGTCTTCGCTCAAGCCCAATTCCACTATTAAAATCAGGTGTTTCATTGGTCCCATTTTTGCTAGTATCACCATGTTTATTTATTCTAACACGAATTGATCCTTCTTTCCAATTCGGGAGTCGAAGTTCACCATGCGATATTACCTCCTAAAAATTAACATTTACTCTGAAATTTTTCAAGGCCTTACATTTTCAAACTGTTTTCCACCCATACTCAAGTTAAACACAAGTTTAGCATACCCATTACCCACAAACTCAAGCGAATAAGTACTGAAATGCCGTATAGTAGTAAAATCTGCTTTTCGTTGTTGCAACCTCCTGTACAAATTCCAAACATACTTAGGCACTTTGGGTGTCGAATTCTCTTGTTTTTTCCACTCATTCAAATGAGAAAGCCCAAATTTATTCAAAAAAGCCTTTCGAAGCAATGATCGTTCCTCAAAGCTGAATGTTGGTGTTGTAATAACCTTGTTTGAAGCATCAAAAGATAAAACAGAAGGCAATATGAAACAGAAAATAAGAAATAAGTAAATGCATGACAGTTGAATTGAGCAATTTTGAGGATCTAAAAATGAACAAAATCAAAATTTATCATTTTATCCCATTCCCCATTTACTTGGGAGATAAATGAGGGAGCTTTTTTTATTTAAACAAACATTCAAGTAAGAAAATCCTGAGGAAAAAACAACCAAAATAAAAAATGACAAGTAATTAATTTTAACTTCTCACTTACAAAAGCAATGCTTTGGACAACAATAGTTTCTCAGCCTGTTGATCAGCAAAGAGAAAATAGAAATTGAATTAAAAGAATCTTCTTTTGGCCTTCTATTAGCACAACCAATATTTGCCTTAACAAATCGTCTTCGTTTTTTCCAACTTAGTAATTGATGAACTGTTGCAGTCATTAATAAAATCCATCTTTTTACCCATCTTAATGCTGCTAATATTGATTTAGGACTAAAGATGTTCAAAAGATTGTCATTGATAGTGTATAATTGATCAAGTCTAGTGCTGGACATAAATACTAGTAGGTGTCAAAATAATGTTGTGATGATACAAAATAATTTAAGAAAGCAGTTGAGTAAGTTGAGCAAAAAATTCTTTAAGTCTAAAAAGATTTTTGGTTATAGTTTTTTAAATTTTGAATTCTCTTATAAAAATAACTAAAATTTTATCCAACAACCTAAACTTTTTTACCGATTTTCTCAAAGACCACCACTTTTTAAAATGCCAATTCTTGGTTAGTTATAAGGGGGCCAAAGGCCATCTCACATTAATCTTACCGCTCAATTTTGCGTACCAAAAAACCAAAACAAAACCGTCTTGTCCTACTATTTTAATATTTTCTTTCAAGAGTAAAATATTTAATACTTTATTTTGGCCTAGCAATTTTTTAGAAAGCGAAAAATGTTGCAAAGATATGCATTATTATTTAACTTTGAAAATTTTGACGCTAATTACTTTAACAAAAAACACAATAAAAAACCAATAAATCATAAACATTTATAACATTTTTACCCTTGATTGTCAAAAACAAAACCTCTATATATTTTATTAACAAATTTACACTTTTTCCATCACACACACACCTAAAATTAAAATTGTGAGAGGTACATGTTCTATTTTTAGAAAATTATGCATGACATAATGTTTATGGTCCTCTAACCTTTTTTTCACTTTTACATGTAAAACTAATTTTCTAATTTGCGCATCGCTTTAAAAAATATGAAGAAACTTAAATAAATAATTACAAAATTAATTAATTAAATTTTAATAATAGAGAGCGAACAATTAAAATAGAAAGCAAGGAAAAGCTTTATTTACACTAAATAAAAAAAAGAAAAATAAAGGACGGATGGGAAAGAAGCATTAATGTCTAAAAGTGGGAAGAATTATATCTGGAAGTTAACTATTCCTTAAAGCCTAGAAAAGTGTAGTAACAATCTGATGATCCTTCGTTGAGAAAATTTTTTTCTCAATGAAGTCTTCAATAAAACTATGAAAGTTCAAACTAAGAAAAACACAAAAAGAAAAAAAATCTAGCTCATTGGATATTGGTCAAAAATGCCATTGAAGAAGATTGAAATGAAAATAAAGTTCGAGTGAAGAAATTTGATTCATAAAGGCTTTGCCGATATTGAAGGCTGTAAATAATTTAAACCCTAGGCTAAAAGTCGGCGGTAACTTCAAAGAATAAAAGGTTATGTGCCAGCCTCAAATGAAAAAAAAAGAAAAATTAAAAACAGACGAAATTTGATAGGAGATAAGTTTAAAAAGAGCAAAAGAGAGTGAAGTGAATAAAAAAAACTATTAAAAATACTTTAGTAAATTCAAGCATTTCTTTATAAAATTTTAACAAAATTCCAAAATTCGCGCCACAAAGTCGGCCATGCGCAATTTTTACTGCATTAAATATGTAAAACGGAGGTCACTTCATAATATGGCGTCAAATTGTCGAAGAAAAAAAATCAGAACATTCCTCTTAAAATCACTTATAATGGGAGTACAAGCAAACGTGGCAAGAGGTTGGTTCTGGTGTGGTTAATCTAACTATTTTATAAGCATGTTAATGAATACAATAAGATCAATAATCGCCTGGGAAATTATTTTAATAAGACAAAGAATACGTGGAAGAAAACTGCTGATCACTTTCTGATAAAGCTGATCTTAAAGATTGAAAAGTCTAGCAGAAGTGGTTTTAAAACAATGAGAAAAAATTTTCTGCAGAATATTAATCTAATAAGAAATTATAAAAAAATATCCATTTTACGCAAATATAATTTAAAAAAACAATTTTAACATGTCATTGAATGAAAGATGCAAAAGCCATTTCACCTGTCAATCTTTTTCAATGCCAAATGTAATCCAAAATGCTTAATATCCCTCAAATATTTACGCAAAACAATATTGGCTAATTAAATGATGTCAATAATATGCCGATGTTTTTAACTATCAGATAATCTTTAAATTTTTCTCTCATGAACAAGAAATCCATTTTAAAAAATTTAAATATTCCCAGAATGATAGGAAAAATCTACTAGGAAATAGTATATCGTTCCAAACAAAATTTGCATAAAACAACATAGGTAGCTTTCATTAAAATTTTGGACAAAAATAGAAAAACATTGCAAGCCTCAAAACCAATCAAAATTTTCTATTTGATTTAACACAAAAAACATTCATATTATTTTAAGCTTTTTTCCAATTTATTTTACATCTCGTTCACATTTAATGTAAATATTTTCATTATTTATTAATATTTTTTACTTTGTCACATAAAGCATAAATAAAAACACAACTAATTAAAAATGACACCCACTCTGAAAAAGTGAGAAGCAAAGAGCAAAAAAATACTTTTTCTTCCCATCAAAATTTATATAAGAACGGCAATAAAACGCGGGAACATGACAGGCAGATATAAACAAAATTATATAACATGACATGGCAAAAAAGTGCCTCTTCTAAAAATGTTTTTTTACATCTAGGTTCCTCCAATCCTTACTTAAAGAGAAAATTCTATATAGCTCATTTTCCATTAAAAAAAGCGAGTTGTTATGATGATGCTTATTGAAAAGGAAAGCACGACCTTATCTTTTAAAGATGAATATAAGTCTCGACAAATTTGTGAAAAGTTATATGAGTGATGAGATGAAAAGCGTATTGAAGAATCTCCTAAGTTAATAATATCGAAAGGAGGAAAGAAAAACGAGAAGAACAGCAACAAATAGCGGCAAAATGTGAATATAATTTTAACTTGACTTAGTTTGACTACAATAAATTTTGACGGAAACGAAAAAGTGAGAGGCGTGAATAATAGAAAAAACGAAACAGCTGAACAAAAATTTAGGTTTGACAAACGCGCTTCTTATTTAAGATTAATAAATACGCAGTCTATCAAAAAGCAAACTTATTACGCGCGAAAACAATTGCAAAGCTATTTCATTGTTTAAATTATTAAACCATAATTATTTAGCTAAAATAATAACCCATTTAATAACTTAAAATCTGACTTAAAAGCAACAATAATACATTTATTTTTTCAACATTCAAAGCCAAAAGCAGAACTCATTGACATAAACAATGAACAATTCACAACTTCAATTTAATAAAATAATTTACTCACCTTTATTGTTCTTCTTCCTGGTCCTGTGCATTATTATAACCACTGACAGAACTGTCATTGCATCAACACCGCTCTCACATCCAAAATTTTTTTGTAAGAAATTTACATATAATAAAGCCAAAATCAGAATTCAATCCTGTCCACTGAGCGTTTGTTCTTTCTAGAAATTAATGAAAAATAAAAAATATTTTAATTTAAAATAAAACCTTTTTTTGTAGTATCATGTCGAGTGATTGCTGGAATTTGTCAAGGTGACATTCGTTGTCTTGAAGAAATGAGCACTCGTTTTACTAACTGCTATTTGGAGAGCTTATTAGGTACCTAAAAAAAATTTCAATCATTTGATAATTTATTATATTTGGATTTAAAAGAAAGAGGTAGCGACGCCTTTGGACGAGAACTCGAATTTGATGATGGGCCAATTGTGAGGAAACGGGTGCCTGATAAAAGAGCACCTGCATTCAAACTAATGAAGGTTTTGATGATGAAAGATCGGGTAAGCTTCGGGGTTAATATTAGAAAAATAAAAACAGATATACCCGTCTCTGGTCCAGGAACCAAAATGTCGGTTGTTGTAGGACACAAGGGCGAACCACCAAAATTCTAAAAATCAAAAATGAATAATCAAACCAACCTAATTAAAAATTAAACCTTTTAGATACCAGTTGGACGTCGTTAAACATTAAATAAAAAGAATCACGAGTAAAACTTCAGCCATAGAAGAATTATTCTTAAATCAACAATTATAAATATTTTTGACTGCACTTTGTACATTTCCTTTAAAATTAATGATCTCAATAAAATTTCGAAAAAAATCAACTATTTATTGAATAATTTAATATTTCGCTACAGATAAACAGTTAATTTGAAACATTTAACTCTTTTTCAAGTTCTTTTTGCGACAAGTCTAATGCTTCATCACCATTGGTTTGATCATCATAAAAATCGGTCGGCGGCATTAGGTCGGTCAAAGATCCCAAAAATACATCGTCCTATAAAAATGTTATTTATGATTATTGTTAGCTTATCTAACGTAAACAAAAAATCAACTTAACTAGACATGAAAGATAAAATCTTCAAACCTCTCCTTCCAACGGAACCCACTCAGGAAGTCCAATACCCAACGGCAAAGGCTTTTGCCCATTAATCACCATCTCATGTTGACGATCTGACCATTTTTTTCGTTCCCTACGAGTCCATCGATTAACTTCACCATCAGCCAAGAAACGGATTATTCTCTTAGAAACAAAAATGAAAACTTTAGAAGTCAAAATAAAAAAGTTACCTTTTCCATGTTTCGGTAAGGATGCCTCTTCCATTCAGCGTTCAGGTGACCAATGTGATTTCTATAACTCAGAATGTATTTTCCATAATGCTGAGGGAAACGACCTAGAATAAATTCATGATTACATTTTAAACGAAATAATTTAATTTTTATCCACCTTCGCCATAAAAATCTTCCAAACGCATTCGCTAAAGATAAATAAAGTTGTTATAATAAAAAGATAAAAATTGATAAACCTCAATCGGCGTGACTTCCTCGTCAAGTTTAACAGGAGCATTAAATGGTGATGCCACAATCTTTGGAAAAAACATTCGATTAGGATTTAATTCAACAACATGAAGACGAGTTCGATCAGCACATTGTTTGTGAGATTCTTGATGAATTAGACCAGTAACAAAAGCATAAACAATTCCTATGTAATTTGTAGTACTGCCTTCTGTGCGTACATAAAGATCTTTGATTCCCAAAAGCTATGAAACAGGGTTAAAATAAGTCAACAGAAAAAAACCTCGCAAATTTTTCTAATCCTTGGATGAGCAATCACTCCATAACCAGGCTCCCGCCTTTGTGCAAAAACTCGAGTACTTCGAAATTCTCCAAAAAAGTCCTAAAAAAGAAATAAAGCCTGTGATGTTTAAAAATTTTAGAAACAAAACCTGATAAATAGTTCTATCTTCAAACCGTTCGATGTAAAAAAGTTTACGAGAAGCAATTTTTATAGCATTTGCAACAGCTTTATTTGACTGAAAAACAGGCGCCCTAGTAAAGGCGAATCCTTAATAAAATTATCAAAATAAACAAAGAGTAAATAAACCTCCAATGCCCTTTCCATTTCCTATAAAAACAGCAGAGCGAATAGCATAGTCTCGTCCAACTCCTGGTTTCATCGCACAAACACGATTGACCTATAATTCGAAAATAAGAAAAATAAATCAAGCATAACCTGGAAACAAATGCATTGAAAATCATCGAAGTTTACACCAGCTTCTAAATTTTCAGGTGGTGGACCCAATTTTTGACCAAGCCACTGTCCTCCACTAAAACCACGCTCCCAAGCAGAAAGCTTTTCTTTGAGAAGTTTTCGAGTTGCCTTTGGCGGTTTCTTAGCTAATTCCACTTTGTTTACTTTAAAAGAGGCATCTCTTTCTTCTTCAGTTTGTTCCTCAAAATATATAGGTTCAGTGAAACTGTTGGGAATACGTTCATTTAATCCGGGATAACGAATGCGCATAGGACCTAAACAAAATTAAAAGAAAATATTGAATTAAAATAAAATCACTAACTAGATTTAAGTGTTCCAATTTTATAATAATCAGACAAACGACGATATGGCTGCCGAGTTTTTCCGCGACCTTTACGTGCGCCATATTTTGTAATATTTGTCACAGTTCTCCAAAGAACATCTTCATTTCGCCGTTGAAAAAAATTAACTGTATTTGACCGGGATGGAATAAAACTTAAGCAGGGTAGTCGAAAAGACAAAAACTTTAATAACATGACCTTAAAAGAATTAAATTAAACGAAAAGTTTAACCCCTTCAAGTACGTAGGAAAAATTTGAAAAATAAAAAGTTCAACCTCTTTCTCAGACTCAAATGATCCTAAAAGCAAAGTGAAAAAAATTTCTTTCTCTCGCCGTGTTATTTCTTCAGAGGATAAAATTTCATTCTTACAAACAGAATGCCAAATTTTTAAATTTTCTACAAAAATCGGGCATAACCCCTCTCCGCAAAAAATTTGATTTTTCTAAAAACACGGCCTAATCACAGTCCCCTTTTTTAGTACTAAAAACCTTTCCCTTTGCAACTCCATTTTCATCCAGTTGTCCACAGCCAGCCCACATACCATCCCATCTCTGTTGCTAAATCATTAAAAAACTTTTTTAAATAAAAAAGTGAAAACAATAAAAATTGAAAGGACAAAGGACAGGGGCTCGCATGCGCATTTTTGAATTTTTGCAAATTTTTTGATTTTTACAATTAAACTTTTACCAGGCCAGAAGATTATGTAGACCACCACCATCCAGAGCATGTTGAACGCCTCCACACCCACCAAAAGCATGTTGAACCACTACCACCACCAGAAGCATGTTGAACCACCATCACCGCCACAAGCAAAATACATAAAAAAAATACAAAAATTTAATATTTTAATTATATTTTTAAAAAAATAAAACGAAAATCCACCGGACGCCCACCATAGCTATTGAACACACCAAGGGCATGTTGAACCACCACCAACAAGAGCATGTTGAACCACCACCACCAAAAGCATGTTGAGCCACCATCCACGCCACAAGCAAAATACATAAAAAAATACAAAAAATTAATATTTTAATTATATTTTTTAAAAAATAAATAGAAAAATCCACCGGACGTCACCATAGCCATTAAACACACCAAGAGCATGTTGAACCACCACCACCATCAAGAGCATGTTGAACCACCACCCCAACAAGAGCATGTTGAACCACCACAGCCACAAGCAAAAAACATATAAATACAAAAATTTAATTTTTAAATTAATATATAATTTTAAAAAATTTAAAAAAATCCACCGGACCACATCAAACATGCTGAACCACCATCACTAGCATGTTGAACCACCACCATGAAGAGCATGTTTAACCACCATCAAAAGCATGTTGAACCACCACCAAAAGCAGTTGAACCACCACCATGAAGAGCATGTGAATCACCAGCACCAAGAGCATGTTGAACCACCATCAAAAGCATGTTGAACCACCACCACCACAAGCAGAAAACATAAAAATACAAAAATTTAATATTTTAATTATATTTTTTAAAAAAAATAAAAAAAATCCACCGGACGACCACCAGATCAATCCAGAGAAGGGTGAAGCACCTTTAAATTATCGGATTTACTATTTTTCAAAAAAATCGAAAATTTTTATTTTTTTTTTAAATTTTTGCGCGCGCATTGCGGGGTAACGATTAAAGACGAACAAACGAAAAAAACAAATGAAAAATGTTTAAAAAAGTAAAAAAAATGAAAAAAACGGCATAAAACCCTCCCCGAGATCTCGAGAGAAAATAAAAAAAAACAGAAGCCAAATCATGCCCTGAGAATTTCAAGTCAATATTTAACGCAAAAATTGTTTTGTAAATTTTAAATTGGTTAATGTCAAAGTGGAAACTAATTATAATTATTTCAAGATGTTCTACAGCATTCTACAGAACCTTCTTTTTGGCCTGAAACGGTTGCCAGTTTGCCAAATTGGTTACCATGGCTACGTAAATACGCCTTGAAATCTGCTTATTTGAGATGTTTATGTTAATTTTTTAGATCCTGAGATGAGTGCGGATATCTGGCATGGGAGGTTACTTGATTTAGTTTTTTTTAATTTGATTTTTAATTTATTTAGTGGATCGAATGCTTTGCCTTTGGAATATTCCTCACATTCAAGGGAATCTTTACATGTGCTAGAACTTAATGGTATTGAGTTTAAACAGGTTTTTATCTGGATTTTCCTTTTTCTTACCAATTTTTAGTTTTTGGACGGCACGTATTTTTTAAGTTTGTGTTTTTACGATTTTCGTTCGTCTTGCTTTGTTGGCAAGCAATTAGTTCTTGATTGTATATCAACTGCTTCTCATATCAACATTAAAAAGGTTGGGATTTTCTCTTTTACAAATGTTCTCCTCTCTATTTTAGAATATTATCGCTTCTTCCTCTGCTGACAATGATTTCCTTGTTGTTATTCAGTTAACAAATAGGTTTTTTGTATTTTCTTTAATAAAATGATTCCTTTTCAGTGACAAAAATTCATTGGGATGGACTGTAATGCCACTGAAAGACGTTGTTGAACAAATTGGCCCAGTTGGACTTGATGCAACCTCAAGATACAAACCAATGCTTCAACGGTAGGAACAGCTAATAGGTTATTCATTGTGTTCCTAAATTTATTTTTATTTAAAATTATAGTCTTCCGCTTTTCGCTGGATCTTGTCAAATGCTTTTCCTAGCTTCAAGTTTTCAACAACTTCAACTAAATCTGAATCGAACAGATGGTGTACTTTCTGCTCATAAACGTTTATGCACTACACAAATCAACTTTCCATTGCCTCTTTTTCACTTTATTCCTCAATTAACTGTTGATGACGCATCAGCACATTCAAAAATTTCGGCTATTTTGGACAATATATTGCTTAGGTATACTTTTACTCTTTCCTGTTTTGTGACATCTTTAACTTTCATCCCAGTAATTTTTAGCTTTTCTAATGCAAATCAATCTGTATGCGATTCTGTCATATTGGATTTATTATCTCGGGAATTTTACTATTCAATGAATGAAAAAAGTATTCAGGGACTCTCATCCTTTCGAATTTTAGAACGTCGTTTGCTGGTAGGAACATTTTTTCCTTAATGCTTTTTCTTTTTAGATAGGTTCCCACAATGGTTTAACTTTTTTGGAAGAGCCCATTTGCCTTCTCTTGGAACCACTACCGTTTATATCTCATGCTGATTCATTTTCGCATCCACGTTCATCAGAAAGGTTATTTAAATAATTACCATAATGGTTCTCGTTTATTTTAGTCTTGAATTTGGTGTTCGTCAGTGTGTGCGTTTTCGTTCACTTCCTGTTCAGCCAGAATTGGTTATTGTATTTCAGTTAATTTATTTGGTCGCTTGCCCTTCTAGTAAGAATGAGGTTTTAATTCTTGTTTTGGCAGCTCAATATACTTTATTTTTTAAAGGATCTTATAACAAATATGCGTCTAATTCGTATAGCTTGGGCTGCTTGGTCTCCTTTTGTTGAAGGTCGAGAAAGGTCGGAACCAGCCGATACAATCACACTTCAGGTTTTTACATTTTTCTGCATGAAATTTATTATTTAGTTGGTCGGCGGTCCTCGATTCTCTCCATTCCAGACAGGATCTTGTTTTAGAGATCTTTCCACTCTTCCTTCCCCTTCTGGATCTGAGCAATATGCATCGCTTCCGGCAAACCGTTTTCGTATTGATGTCCACTTCAACTTCGCTTCTTTATCTGTAACTTAAATTTAAATAGACTATTTAACCTATTGTATTAACTATTAAGGACCTGGGTGAAGACAATTTGTCTACTCCAGAGCCATCTCGTACTCCTAGTAATAGATTGGTTCAAATACGAACACCACCTCATTCAGACCGCATTCTTAAAGTAAAGGATGGAGAGCTTTCTCAACGTTATGCGACGACGGACACTTCAAAATTGCCCGAACATAGTTTGGAATTGCTACCAATGACAGATCCTGAGACTGTTGATGATGATGCTTCTTTGCTTAGGCCAACGGTTTAAATATTATATCGTTTAGAAAATTGATCTAGATGGTATCTTTCAGAAAATCCATTACGAAAAGCCATTGGTCGTTCAATCTCAAAAGTTTGCAAATTATGGAGCAATCTACTCGGAGCTCCCTCTTGGCCGGTATCCTTTGATTCTTTCAAATATCTAGTTTTTATCTTTTTTATTTTCAGCATAAGCGCATTGCCTCGAACTTTTATTCCATTACTTTCAAAATTTCCATCAATAAACTCCTCAGGCGAGCCAACTCTAAAAGCAGTTGATATTGATACACAAAATGAAAAACCTCCTGATATGAAATTGGAATTTGGACAACAACGTTGGCCTGCCTCCGAATTTTGCCTTCAATTTCTGGCTTACTGTTCAATGAATGGAGGCTTCCCACAGGCACAAACTCCCCTAAAACTTTTCTTTACCTTCCAATTTTACCGGTTCCAACAATTTGTAACTGAAAGGTTTTTTTATTTATTTTCTTTTCGATAGATTTTTTGCATTTCAGTTTGTCTACTAATTGTAATGAAGACAATGGTGCTCCACAACCTTTGTTATTATGGCGTCAAGATGCTAGTGAACACAAACAACAGCCTGGTTTATCGGTTTTTTGTTTTCTATTTTTGGTTACAATCTTCTTTAGTTACGATTTGTCATTGATGGTGCTCAACAACAAGATTTTACTACTTATTTATTAGAACGACATTTAATTCTACATGTTTGGGAGGCTGATTCAATTTTTCATTTGGGTGTTGCTTCGATTCCTTTGAAGGTTTGTAAAAAAATTTTTGGCATTCGGTTGTATTCATTTCTTTTTAGTATTTACTTCGACAAGGTTCTTCAGGAGTTCAGTGCTCGCTTCAGTGTCAAGTTTTCCAATCTGGGTTTTCTCCTGATTTGAACCCTTCACAAGGGCCTATTATTAATGGAGTACTTTTCTTACGTTTTGCTAATATTTGTCTTTCAACAGGTTTTATTCTTATTTTTGAATCTTAAATGTTTATAAATTAGTTAATGCAATAAATATCAAGAGTAGTTCAACTGTTATCAAACGTGTCCGTCAACTTCACAAAAGTCAAGAGACTCCTTTGGAACATTTTATGGCACTGCAAAAGTTATTTTAATGTTTTTGTAGTATAGTTTATTATTTTAGAATTGACTTTGCTCAAAGAGCTTCACAACTTTTTGGACCTAAAGAGCATCAAAAAATTCATGATTGGAATCGGATGAAAGAGGAGAAAACTGATAAAGATGGTGATTTATTCCTACGAAGTGTTGGGAAATCAGATAAATTTCTTTTTGCTGAAGAATTAGCCGCTTATCGAGCTCTTCGAAGAGAGAGTAAAGCGCATGCTCTTTTAAAAGCGGTTGGTTTATTAATTTATGAAACTAAAATACTTTTTTTTCGGAAAATATCAAAACAAATTTAAAAGGCTGCCATAAATATTATATTAATAAATTTTGGTACTCGTGTTATATGCTCCAATTTTTATAGCTCCATTTCCTATTTTACAAATTAAAAACTTTTCCGGAATTTAATAAAATATTTTGCAAATTGAAAAATTTTTCCGGAATTTAATAAAATATTTTGCAAATTGAAAAATTTTTCCGGAATTTGATAAAATATTTTAAAAATTGTAAAAACTTCCGGAATTTAATAAAACATTTTACAAATTGTAAAAACTTTTTCCGGAATTTAATAAAACATTTTACAAATTGTAAAAACTTTTTCCGGAATTTAATAAAACATTTTACAAATTGAAAAACTT